ATAACTTAGGAATACACGTAGGCTCAATATCAAAAATATTTTATAAATAGTTTCTATAAGAGGTGTTCCTATACCACGAATGTCTGTACTCGGTAGCTTAAGTGTTTTAACTTTCCGGAACAGTGGGTCACTTCATTCAAATAACGACCCAAGCCGTTTGTTTTTTAATGGAATCTCAAAAATGAAACCTGCAAAATACCGTTTGTTTACGATTACCTGCAATAGGTAAACTTTTTTTGAAAATGAGCTGGTTTACCTAAAAGACGCATGATGTAAAAATGCCTTAAAACCTATAATCAAACATGATGACCACATTTTGATTGATGATTGATTGAATGATTGACTGACTGACTGATTGATTGATTGTAATGATTGATGTCCGTGCAAAAACAGGAATCAAACTCCAGTGCCGTTGCCATTGCTCGAAGCTCTCGTCTTTCACTGCGCGATTAAATTTATTCCGTTCTTCTAAACAAGTTCTCAGCTCCAAACTCTCGCTAATCTTCAGCTATTGCTACTTTTTCATCAAAGTCATCAGAAACAATTCATAGCCATTCTATTCATCATGGCTTGTTTTGTAAACTTGTGTATTATGTTAGTGTTGTTGTTGCTCTTTATAGGGAAAAGAAAATGCTCCAGGAGATGGCGACTTTTCAAGAAAGGGGCCGATGATAAACGGTGTAAGGAGAACCTTAGCAAACCAGCCACAGCCCGCAGCAGAACCCATAGAGGCCTTACAAACGAAGCGCAGTGATCAGAAGAGTGTTATATCAAAGGCCCCCGGAAACACGAAGTCAAAAACAGATGGTATAATTACACATTAGTTCATATATCTTATCAACCAATTTTTGTTAGGGGGGGGGGGATTACGACGAGGTCAAAACTCTCTGATCATCACATCCCTGTTCTTACAATCTAAGAGCATGCGCAATAATGACGAAGTCTGATGCGCAAGAGATTTTGAATAAGTGTCCTGGGATCAATGTCAAAATTTTGAATAATCGCCCTGGGATTAATGTCAAAATTTTGAATAATCGCCCTGGGATTAATGTCAAAATTTTGAATAAGTGCCCTGGAATTAATGTCAAAATTTTTAATAAGTGCCCTGGAATTAATGTCAAAATTTTTAATAAGTTCTCTGGGGTCAATGTCAAAATTTTGAATAATCGCCCTGGGATTAATGTCAAAATTTGGAATAAGTACCCTGGAATTAATGTCAAAATTTAGAATAAGTGCCCTGGAATTAATGTCAGAATTTTTAATAAGTTCTCCGGGGTCAATGTCAAAATTTTGAATAATCGCCCTGGGATTAATGTCAAAATTTTGAATAATCGCCCTGGGATTAATGTCAAAATTTTTAATAAGTTCTCCGGGGTCAATGTCAAAATTTTGAATAATCGCCCTGGGATTAATGTCAAAATTTTTAATAAGTTCTCCGGGGTCAATGTCAAAATTTTGAATAATCGCCCTGGGATTAATGTCAAAATTTGGAATAAGTGCCCTGGAATTAATGTCAAAATTTTGAATAATCGCCCTGGGATTAATGTCAAAATTTTTAATAAGTTCTCCGGGGTCAATGTCAAAATTTTGAATAATCGCCCTGGGATTAATGTCAAAATTTTGAATAATCGCCCTGGGATTAATGTCAAAATTTTGAATAAGTGCCCTGGAATTAATGTCAAAATTTTGAATAAGTGCCCTGGAATTAATGTCAAAATTTTTAATAAGTGCCCTGGAATTAATGTCAGAATTTTTAATAAGTTCTCCGGGGTCAATGTCAAAATTTTGAATAATCGCCCCGGGATTAAGTGCCCTGGGATTAATGTCAAAATTTTGAATAAGTTACCAGAGCATTTATTTTATGATTTACCGGATTTATTAGAGCTTGTGGGTTTTGTGGATGTTGATAATCCTTAAATGTTATCACTATTATAAACATTTAAGAGGAAAGACTGCCTAAAACGTTCCAAAATAACTTCATCACCGACAAGGAATCATATAAATATGAGGCAAAACAAAAGCTAAACTACAAAATAGTCCAATTCAATAAAAAGCGGCGAAGCTATACTTTGCAAATATCCGGAGCACGAATGTTGAATAAAACTTAACCGTTTTAAATATATTCCAGTCTATAAAACATTTACTAAGCAAGAAAAACATGATTTTCTTTCCAACTACAAAATTCTAACATTTTAGTTACTGCTTTACTATATTTTTTCGATATATTTTTTTCTTGGATGTCTAGTTGAATAACATTTAAAACATTTATTACGTGGGCTAAACTAGGTAAGCCCTGCTTCATCTGGGTTGCTCATAATACGTATTTTTATCATCATTACTGATACCTGAATTGAATTGAATTGAATTGAATTGAATTGAAGGTAAGATAAACTTCAAATACCTTTTAGCTCATTCTTGTTAAGCAATTTGAATTTTGCTGAAAGTCCTCCCATTGTGTACCATAGAAAGTTCCTGTTGAATATATAGAAAGTATAGGCCTTAAAAGTTGACAGTATCATTCATCCTTTTATTTAGTATTTTTATGCACAAATAAAGCTATTTGCAAACTAAGATATCTATAATGACTACATACCGTTTTAAGATTGATAACCGCCATTTTTTAGCAGATCTTCCAGGGAGTTTTATTTGAGAGTGTAGCCCCTAAAGTGTATCTTAAGTGTTTTTTTAAACGATCTAGCGCTGGTAGCCCACGATTTTCAAACCGTACATTCCATATTTTCAGTAATGAAAGATTTTGTAGGAGCCTGCAGGCACCGCGGAGTGTTGAGAAAAGGGGGGGGGTCTAAAAAGGTGCGGGGACTAACACCGAATAAAAAAAGGGCTTTAGTGGTGGTTCACTTCTTAATATCTTGCATTTTTTGCAAAAGTTAGTCATTGATCATGATAGATTTAATGTCGAAGTACCTTAACTGTTTTTTTGAGAGACAACCTATCAGTTTAAAGTTTTTAAGTAGTCCTTTATGTGTTTGCATAAACGTCACTTTAATCTTAATCAGGCGATAATACTGCGAAGGCATTGGAATCAAAGGGTCAGGAAACAAAGCCACTTATGAAGCAAACCGAAATTGTACCCCCTAACAAGGGGCCAGGTCCCAAAATCAAGATGCGTGATGGGACAAAAGTTTTAGTAACAGAATTGCTAAAAAGTAGAGAAGGTATGTGTTATTCAGTCTTATGCGACTTAATGCAAAAAGGAATCGAACATATTTGTAATAGGATTATGAAAGCTTTGGATTAATAAATCTTAAAAAAAAGTAAGGATGAGCTATTGGTCAAGATCGAAAAAATATTTTGGAAAAACAAAATTTGCAGTGATAATCCAGGGCAGTCATGATGCTTCGAGTCAATGACATTGCACATTGCCTCTTTTTCGGTACAGCATCAATGCGAAATTCACCTGAAGATATTCTAGAGTCCAGGTTTTAGCTTTCCCTGAAAATTTTTATCACTTATTCTATCAAGGCCAAACTGTATTCTGTGACTACAGTTGGTCATATATTTATATATCCTTGTCGTCATTGTCTAAATATGTGTTAATAGGTATGGTTTGATATAAATCTAGTTTAGTTTATAGTTTCACTTAGGTTATAGTGTTTGCTTGAAAGACCGGGATGTGCTATTAAGGTAATATCTCTTGTCGCCTGATTTTTGTTACTACAATTTGACTGGTAAAAAAGTCGTTTCTCGTGCTAAATCAAAGCATTTTTTTTTCATAAAAGCTATTTCTATACGAATATTTTTTATCTTGTGTCCTATCTTAGTTCTATCTCAATTACACCCTCAGAGATAAAGAACGCTACAGCAAATAACCAAAAATGCGACACGGTAGACCAGGAAGAAAGCGCGCAGACGACATGCAATAAAGAAGATGTGGAACTTAGGGAATCTAATACAACACTCCAGTTTTCACCAGTTTCCGTTTTAGAAGATGCACAGGCCATCAGAGCTGTCTGTTTTCATCCAGATGGCAAACTTTTTGCAGTTGGGTCAAATTCAAAGATTCTTAGAATATGCACAGCTAAAACCTTCCAACCGGTTATTTCTAACGAAAGGTGAGAAGCTTCTCCGTTCTGCACGATAATTACTTTAATGTCGTGACGTAGAAAGCTACTTCCTTCACGGATAAGAGACAACGAGTCACGACAAGTGATTTTAAATGCTAAAAAAATTTATTCAACTAGGCATCCAAGAAAAAAATATATCGAAAAAACATAGTAAAGCAGTAACTAACATGTTTGAATTTTGTAGTTGGAAAGAAAATCAAGTTTTTCTTGCTCAGTAAATGTTTTATAGACTGGAATAGAGTTTTGTCCAAAATATGTTTTTCCTTTGAGATTTTGGAAGATATTCATTTGGGCGTTCGATTAAAAACGGTGATCGCTATCGGAAGGACATAGAAAAATATTTTGGTATCAATTAACATTTGGTATCATTTAAAAAGGTCTTAGATTATTGCAGATAAGTTAACTAGGGCTAAAAAATTATAATGAAAGGACAGCATAATAGCGTTTATACTGGTGCCAATTGTGTAGTGTTATGGATCACAGTGTTACTTTGACTTCCTATGTAACCGATAAGAAATAAGGTAGTGTTTTTGTGATTCGTGCGATGTTGCGCATTCAATGCAATGTGGATTTCTTTTTTGATTTGGTGCTACCTAGCATCAGGAGGTAGCTTTCAGGGCACTAAGAGCAGTGCTTATCGAACAGTATTTTGGTCCTTTCTCTCTTTGTGATTAAACCTCGTGATTCCTGTGCATTGAATTAAAGAGTGCTGGCAACTCTCCTTACTCTAAGTAAAATTTTCGTCATTTCAGGGATTTGAACTACATGTCCTTGGATTTGAAATCCGTCCTCACCCCCCCTCCCCCCTCCCCCAACCACTACTGAGCCCTCCTTGTTGGACCTATGGCATGTAGATTAGATCAATTGGAAAACTGTTAATCAGATCTTGCAGCTAACAGTCCATAAAGCCACTTTCCTTATTGCTGATTTTGTTAGTATTCTAATTGTAAAGAAGGATCGCCTGAACCTGGAACCTAACAACAAGGCGTCACTGTTGTCTATTCTACAAATTTTAGCGGTTATTCGCTTCATTCATATTTCATCATCTCGATCGATTTTCAGCGAGGGTGTTCCCCAACCTTCCACCGTTTTCAAGAGAAACAAGTACCACAAAGGTTCAATATACTGTGTTACATGGAATCCACTGGGTGACATCATTGCTACTGGTTCTAACGATAAAAGCATCAAAATATTGCGGTTTGATCCCGACAACTGTGTCCAGGATGGCAGTGAGAGCGAGCTTAATATCCATAATGGTACTGTTAGAGAGCTGTCCTTTGCACCTGACAAGCCAGCCATACTGATTTCTGGTGGAGCAGGTATATAACTTACAATTTTTAAAAGTTTATAAGTAGCTGACTGCGCTTCTCATTTAACGATTGTTACTTAATCAAAGCTGTTGTTCATAAGGTGTTCGAATGCTTTTTGAATCAGGAATATCGTCTCTTGTAGGCGATGGTGCTGTGCAAATAACCGACTGCGCAACATGTCAGACTATTGGCTCGCTTCGAGGGCATACCGGCAACGTGATGTCAGTTTTTGCAGGTGATGGTGATATCGTTGCCACTGGTTCAACTGACAATACCCTTAGGTTATGGGACCTCAGATCACACAGATGTATCGATGTTATTTTGGTTGGAGACAGTAGCCCGGCATCCGTGGCACTAAGCTGTAACGGATCATACCTAGCATCAGGTAAGGACTTGCCATTCTTCACTAACAACTTCTTCAGAAAATTTAGGCCGCCACAAGAATCCTAGTTTATACCAGCCAAAAGGTACCACTCTACAGATTCTCGGGTTAAAGCTAACTCTTTTCCCAGAAAAGGTCCTTAAGCTTTGTTAATTTTTCTCGAATGCCTTTTGTTTTCTTGTTGTTTTGTTTTTACCTTCTTCACAATCTTCAATATTTGTGACTGTCATGTTTTCGACACTTCTTCCTTATGACAATTTGGGTTTGGAGTTCAATGAAGAACGAAATGTCCAATAAACAAGAAACTTATAGGAGTTCAATAAAGAACGAAGCCACCACAAAGCAACTTTGAGAGAAATATTCCCCGATTACAAACTGTTTTGATACTTTATAAAGAAGAGAGTGTATTGAGATGGAAAGTCGTCTTGACCGGGGCCCGGTGCTTTTCACAGAATTAACGGTTTTCTTTCAGATGGCTTTCCGTAAATCACCAGGGAGAAATTTCCCTCTGATGTCCTCATGCTGCTTGTATCATTTGTGTTCCTTTTTATTTCGCAGGGCAAGAAGATGGTTGCATCCTCCTTTACGATATATCCGCGGGACGGACATTACAGTCTTTTAGACTGCATCAAGAAGATTGCAGGAGCGTTCGATTTTCACCCGACTCCAAGTACTTACTCACAGGCTCGTACGATACAGATGTTTCTATATTACACACTGAAGGTGATTTAGAGTCGATCGTGCCTCGGCATTACAAGGTTGCTTGCCACAAGGATAAAGTAATACAATGCCGATGGCATCCAAATAGGTATGCGTTCTTAAGTTCAAGCGCAGACAGGACAGCTGTTCTCTGGAGCTCAGGCCAGAAAAGAAACCTATTTTTTTCGTGACTGCCCTTTACACAAGACTAAACAAGACAAACAACAACAACGAAACGACTTTTAATGAAATGACGGCCTACTAGAAACATATTTTTGTGTGTCCTAAAAGTCCATTCATTGGTCTTGTGTTCATTTGCACGCTAGTCCCCAGAGATCTTTTCAATTCCGAAAGCTCAAATTTGTCGTTAGAAAGCTAATATGTTTAGAGTAAATGTTTCAATTGAAATTATTGCAAATAGTTTTATAAAGTTAGGTTCCTGTCAAGTAGACCGGTATTGTGTTTAGATAAAAATACCCTTGTCTTTTCATCGAAACAATATAATATTGTTTCGCATGACTATTGTTTATCGAATCGATTTGATTACAGTATGGTTGAAAGAGTTTTTCAGGTGTTTCCTTCTTGTTGGGTAGTCTTTGCAACTATATAGTGTGAGAAGCTGTCAATTGATACCAATAAATAGATTGCTATTTTATAGCTTTGAAGATAAACAAATGAGAAGTGTTGTACCACTATATTCTCCCAATTTATATAATGCCAATCAAACCTCGAAGTATTTAAGTAGGTCGCTTTGAAACTTTGAGCAGTCGCCATTTAACTTTGTCATGTTGCAATGATCTTGTTTTGATAGATAAACTTACTTCCGTAACAAAATGGATACTCTGCTGTGAATAGGGCAATGTTTAAAGTTAAAGTACTATGAGCGAAAGTGCTCATGGGTAGAGCAATGTTAGAAGGTAAAGTTCCGTGAGCGAAATTTCTCATTGGTAGAGCAATATCTTCAAGGGATCCATAATGCAGCTTTTCATTTCAAAGGTAATGGGTGTGATGTAAACGTCGTTCCCGGTTGGTGGGCTTTGTCGGTGTAAAAAGTAAGTAAATTCTTCCCCCGCTTACACTGACCAACTTACACTGACGTTCTGACTTAGTAGCGTGCTGGGCAGAGTACCTGGCAATAGAGCTCCATAATGGAGCAACGTCATACAGAAAAAATTTGTGAACAGAGTTTTTTACTCTGACCACCTGATACGAGAGAATGCCATGAAATACCTCTACAAATTCAAACCAATTAAAGCTGGTGCAATTAACTGAGACATAGCAAGCGGCCTGGTTCATGAGCCTGTGCTCATGTAGCCACCATATCTCAGCCAATTTTAAACACATTTACGTTTTAGATACATGTTTATGGTCTGTTCAAAATTATCCAACCTTCTAGCAAATGCAAGGTGCGATCCAACCATCTTATACAAAGCTTTTTTTGAATTGTTTTATAATGATTAAATGCTCTTGCGCAACCAGCATGCTTTGCGACAATATTTTCAAAACCGGCCTAATGTCGTACTGCATGAAAATTCAAAACACAATCAATTTCTCAAGATAGCTGCCGCTAAGCATGCCGGTTGCGCAAGGGCCTTTAAGTTGTTCTCTTGAAAAATTCTTAAAACAGATTTATGGCATCGTAGCTTTGAAACTCTAAAGCAATATACGAGAGACGAACAATACACAAGATGCAGTCATTGTCTGTTTCTGTGCTTAGTCAGTTCGTACTCCTTGAGTGGTTAATGCTTTACCTATCTCTCTCTCTCTCTTTCTCTCTCTCCCCTCCTCTCTCTTTCTGGTAGTTGATCTACCATCCATTTGCTTACACTTCTCAAATAGGTCATCCGTTGTCTGCCCCTGCTCCGTTTTCCTTCGATTCTTCCTATATGGGCACTTAAAAGACAATCCCCTTTTCGTAATATTGACGGCCACATTTTAGGGGGCTTTCAGAATTCAGTGTTATTCTTGATGACAGAACATTACTAATAACAGCGAGTAATGTTTTCTTTTAAAAATTTTGATTTGTTAAGAATCTCTTGTGTGAAATCTAAGATGGATATCCGCGAGAAATATACAATACCAAAGTGCCCAGGTACGTACTTTTATGTGTTTAGGACGTGATCGGTCGGGCCATGAGCTCAAAAACTATTGAGGTGTCGTCTCTAGGTATTTTTGGATCTCAAATGTTTTTTGATGTATCAAATATATAGGTTGTATTTCAGTCTCGTGTTTTATGATCTGCACTGTACGATCTTTGATTTTCTGGCAGCAGCCCTTCAACGAGATACTTGTTGCATCATATAGCGGAAGAGAACAGTGGAATGATAAATATTTTGATAAAATTTTCTTCTTTAAATTTCCCCCTTTATTTCGTTAGGCACCTGCTTGTCTAAAATAGTCCACCTAGTTGGAGAAAATACAATTGGAATATAATCTTTATAAATGATTTTTAAAAGAGGCTTTATGATAGGTACAGCTTATTGATAAAGGAAATGAATATATTAAAGAAAAGACTGGAATAGATAAAGCCAAAACCAAGCCAAGCCAAGACTTAACAGATAAAGCCAAGACTTAACAGTGCACTGTTATTATCACGAGTTTTACTTGTTTCTTTCACTATAGTACTGTGGTGTAATGTTTACCACACATTTTGAGCAAAATATTTTACTATTCTCGAGCACGAGATGTGTACCAGGCATCTTGTTTTCAAACAGCTTTCCGGGGGCTGTAAATGCATTGATTAACAGATGCTCCAATAGCTATTTTCAATGAAGATTCGTATTCAACTATTTTTACGACTTTTTTACTGTACCATTGATGGGCATCAACTAAACTGTCCCAGTTTGTTCGGATCCATGTTAATAAGTAGTAGCAGATTAATTTATGTATTAAGTAAATTATGCAGTAGGCCTGGTATTTAATTATGCAGGACTTAACGACCCTTGCCCCATCTTCGAACAACGGGATTTACTCCTTTATTATTAATCTACACAAGGCAAGTCAGGTAGGGTCATTGTTCACTACGCGATAGTATTCAGTGAAAATCGTCCTAAGTTGAGTCTTTGTTGTTTTGTAAACATCATTCAAGTCTGGTCAAGTTTGAAATATGGACATGAATCTGATGGCTTTATTTTGTCATAAATTTGAGAATTTTTTTTTAAATTTACATTTATTTCTCTTTTGTTACCCACAGTACCTAATCTTTGGAGAGGCCCCTGTCCAATATTGATTTTAATAAAATATTGTATGTTCTGAAAATTAAAAGTTCACATTTTCTAGTGTTTCACGAACCCTTTAAAAACCCGTCATGATAAGACAAGCGATTTAAATAGTAATAAGCAAATATATTATAACCATGCGTAGCATGAGAATTGTAAGGCAAAGGCCCTTAGGTTTTCTATAATTTACTTATTGCTCGTAATTGTTTTCTCTCAAATCAAGAATTATTGGGCTTTGCCCTTTGTAAACTTGTATATATTCAATATAAAAGGTCTGTGAACAGATCCTTGAGGAAATCCTAGAAAAGTCTCCCATCATATGCAGATTAAACCTATATTCTATGTTCGCTATCGAGACAACGAAGTAACGCACAGTCCAAAAGCTGATTTCACAATTAACTATTCGGGGCTATGCAATCAAACACTTTTGAATGATCCACCGTATATTCAATTCTTTCTAGTTCTTAAATATTGATTGGAGAGTACATGTATTCATCAATTGATCCTTCAGGTTTTTAAATATTTTTATTAATCTCAGTTTAAATGGTATTGGTTTTACCAAACCAAACAATTAGACTCCCGTGCAAAGTCAGGGAGCATGATGTTTTTTTAGATTATTTATGGTTAGATTAAAATTATTAAAGAAAACCCGAAATTTCTTTTTGAACATTTTGCGCAATCTGCAAATGCGATTGTTTTATATTTCCTAATTTATTCTTCTCAGAAAGACTGTTTTCTTCTTTCATTTTCATTCTCAGTATCTATAATTTTAACCTCTCTATTCAATGTATTATGTGCGATATGCCGCAGTGTTTACATTTTACGCTTTAAATTTACTCGTTTTTTGAAGAACGTCACTATGGTTTTCAATAAATTTTTTCCACGTGAACATAACTTTCAGGGAAGGGCCAAGATAAGGTAAATGTAGGGGGGGCTTTGATCCTCGCTATTATATAGAACATAACGGTTCTCGTATTTACCTTTTGCAAATTAGTGTATCTTGAAAAAATTGTGGGAGGACTCAAGCCCCCTAGCCCCTCCCCTCCCTTGCTTTAAAGTGTTCATCAACAATCAAAGATTGCGACAACGATTTGTTACAATTAGCGCGTAAGACATGGTAAAACCAAGTAAACCTAATTATGAGCGGCCATTTGTCCAGAAAACCAGTTAATTTGTTATTTTTTTATTCATTCGTGTTTCATATTCGGCAGAATCGCTATCTTTTCTTTTAGCTTTCTTTTATGAGGTTTTCTGGCTTCCTCCAGTAAAGGAAAAGCTCCTGAAATTTTGTTCATCATATTGCTGGAAATGTCCGCAGTTCTCCACAGAGGCGTAGCTAGCGGTGAGTGTAGGGAGATTTGTCACTGCCCGATTCCTTTATGTGTAAGTAAGTCGGTAAATCGCCCATTGGCAGGTGCAAGAGCACTTCAATTTTTCTGCATCCATGTCTTCGTTGGTTTATTGTACTCCTGGTGACCCTCCTACCCCCGAGTCTGTATGGTAGAGCTACGCCGCTGGTTCTCCGTTCACAGGCACTGTGGAGCAGGGGGACTGGGGGCTTTAGCCAAAAGCGTGGAGAGTTAAGAAATAGACCACAAGTCAAGCCTCTTTAATTCGGTTCTAGCGATCTTTTGTTTTGCCCCTGACATACGCAACAGCTTTTTCAGAAAGGCACTAAAACTAGCTTAGAATCAGTTTTCTTCGTCGTTCTCGACCGCATGATCATATGGGCTCTGTTGTGGGTTCTTACGGGCTTTCATAGTCTTTTATTATGTTTTCTGCAGCTTCTCTTTCACCACTTTACAAATAAGAATGATCTTATCTTGGTTGTATGACACAGACGTCATAAAGTGCGATGTATGTATAGCTGAAGCACAATCTTTAAACCACGAGTCTGACCACACGATTAGAACGATAACTATTTCACGCTTCCTTTGTTATTAACTTGGATTTGTTATTAACCGTGGACCTTGCTATGCAGAATTCAGAGAGACAACCTCCTTTTATGTCAACAAAATTTTAATATATATTCATAACCAAAATCACTTTTACATCACCGCGTGTTCCAATCTCTCCACTCACTACTCCCAGATAATCCGATTTATTGCTGACGTGCTGGGTTGTAATTCTCTGCGCACGCTGCTGCGCAGTACCATATGACGCAAACCTTACTTTACAACATCTTTGCCTAACCATTTGAATTTAGATTTAAATTAAATTTTTACTGTGTAGCCGTAGTCGAGGCTCGTAAGAGAATACTTCATGTGGCTTACTCTCAGAAAGATCTATTACAGAATAACAAAACATACAGCACAGCGGAATATAAGCGAATATATTCTAACAAGCAATTGTACAGTAACGGGGGTATAACCCTACAACTGTCAAACTTAAATGCAGTAGTGTGTTGATACTGAAATTTTGCCGCAGTATAATTGGTTCTAGTATGTGGCCCAGATAGAAACAATGAAAGAAATAAAGTTGTTTCGTTTTACTTCGTAAACATGACCTGGAGGGCCGCGGCCCCTCTCAAAAACCTATAGATGCGAAATATTCCTTCAAATATCCTGTGCATTTTGTGAGATGTGTTTGAATAACATTAGGATATCGATATGAAATAAAGCATTAGGCCATGTAAAATGAATTAGTTGATACTCATCAGAATTTCGCAGAAAAAATCAGTCTCTACTTTTGCAAAGATTCTTGAGAGAGTTACCCAAACCTATACGGCTTCCTCATATCCAAAAAATCGTTAATATCAATTTATTCAACTCTCTGTAAAGTCAATTCGAAAGCCCTATTGAATGTTGGTTTGTATCCTATCCTGGAAAGTATCGAGAAGTTACTTCAAGAATCCCGCAAGGATCGTTCTTAGGTCCACTTCTTTTTATACCTTTTTTGCTTCTAATATCCCGAAAAATATTTGTCCTCTTTTCCAGCTGTTCAGTACCTGTAAAGTTTTTATCATTTGCGTTATGCAAATTCTAAAGCGCAAAATAGATTATTTACAGAACCTTAAAAAAGAGCCATTTTCATCATTAGAAAAGTTAAGCAGAAAGATCATTGGTCAATCAAATATTGAACATTAATAGCTTAATATCGATCGACAGATGCAGTGTGGTTAGAAACATGTGTTGTTTTTATAGTCATCATAGGCGTAGACGTAGCATTTTTTTCAGGGGGGGGGGGGGGGCTCAAAAAATTAATGACAATTCCTAATGGCAGCTGCTGGAGTCACAGGATAGAAAATGGATTAGCTAAGGGCTTAAAGGTGTTTTTTTCGTGCATTTTTCATTATCGAGGAAGAAGAAACACACATGAGATGTTGGAAAGTGTATTTTTAAATCATAATCATCTTCTTTAGGTTGAGATCATCAGTTCTATTTAGGCACACAAAATGTTTATGCGTGGAACCAGTAATATAACAAACTAATCTAAAAGTTGGTGAAGCAGTTTTCATCAGGTTTTCCGCAGGAGGGGCTGAAGCCCCAGAGCCCCCCCCCCCCTAAGTTTACGCCTATGATAGTCATCTATCTAGTTTATCCTTCTGGAGGAATGTCACAAATGTTGGTTTCTGCCTTGGATTCAAAGTTTTCCGTGGGAGTATCCCCCTGGGTACCTCTAGTATAGTGGGTCTTGGGGACATGTCTGTTAGTGTGACCCTAAGTATTCTCTCTCCAAGAAAAAGACTTTAAAATAATATTTTGTTTTGTTCCATGTAGGATTAGAATTTCTTTAATCGCTCCCAAGAAACAAGTTAAGCGAAAATGGTAAATGTTGCATCTGGTGTCATGACATTCCCCTCTAGAGTTCCAAATGACCACCACGCTCCAAAGATTTCCCGACATAAATCCCCCCATTTTACCACAGCGCGGAGGTTTATTAAACAAACGTTTTCTGCATCCATTATCATTTTGTTTATCTGCTCAGATTGATTTTGAAGAGTCGGTTCATTTTGTATCGGAGTTAGTCCAACATGTCTTGACATCTCATCCTTATAAAAATTATTTTAAATTGAGCACCTGTGCTTGGAGAAGAATCCTTATGAACACTGGGAAACTCCTTACCTTAAGCCAATTTAAAAAAGAACTAAAATAACATTTGTTGAGACGAGAACATCAAACATCAAACATCAAACATGATGCCTTGGAAGATCAGCAGTAGCTTCGACTTTTATGTTCGAATAATATAATTGGACAGCTCCGGATCTGGCTCCGGGTCTGGCTCCGGATCTGGCTCCGGGTCTGGCTCCGGATCTGGCTCCGGGTCTGGCTCCGGATCTGGCTCCGGATCTAGCTCCGGGTCTGGCTCCGGATCTGGCTCCGGATCTGGCTCCGGATCTGGCTCCGGGTTTCGGCATAGCAGGCAGTTGCTTGCCGTGTAGTCAAAGATTTGGTGGTTCATTCGTACATCACCTTGTGGAACAGACTTGTAGTCATGGACAATGCTGGCTCCGGGTCTGGCTCTTGATCTGGCTCAGGGTCTTTCTCCGAGTCTTGCTCCGGGTCCGGCCAAGTAATGGTAAGAATAAGTATAGGCCCTTTTTGATCAACATTCGGGAGAGGTGAGTGGTTCAAAATTAAAAGCATGTTCTTTGTGGATGAAAGTCATAGGGGTGGGGGAGGAGAGGTGGGGCGGATGACCGTCAAATTTTTTGCATTGTGGAAAGCTTCACATGGTTTGGCCACATAACAAACCTTTCTGAATTTAAAAGTCATAGCCGTAGGGATCATCTACGAGATTTTGTCTTCTTTTGTTACCAAACGAGTGCCGAACTGTTCACTCCTCACAACTTCCAGCAAAAGAAGATAAGTTCTAAAGCGCATTAGAAGCATCTATTGGAATTTAAATTCTAAAGGGAAGATTATTTCATAAAAAATGATCAAGGCCGATAAGCATTTTCTTTTGATACTAGCAAGCTTTATCTCTACGATACCGCTTTTGTGACAGGAAAATACAGGACAAGGACGCTTGAAACCTTAAAACCCTACATCTTAAAATAACGCCGAATGCTCTCCTGTATAGGCTGTTGAATTTGTTTAGTTGGTCACCCTTTGTATAAGCGCCTACGTAAGGGCCTTCTTACTTTTCTGTATAGGGTATTATCTTTAAAGTTGATGAAAAGAGTTGTCGCCTGAAATCATCACGAACGAACGCATTATCACAACGAAACGCTGTATTTCATTTATTCATTCACGAATCATCACAGTCTAAAATGTAACTGTTTGTTTTATTATCATCGTTTTCTGGCAATCTTTCAGTCATTATAACTGGACTTAATTTTTACAATTGTCGTAAATGTTGGAAACTAAAGACGCAGGACCTTCCGTGTATCCTTACAAGGATGCTCGGCAAACTACCCAACATAAGGCAGTCAGAGTTCTAGACACGAAATTTATCATTTTTTACGAATTAGATTTGAAAGATTAGAAGAATGTATTAGATTGGAAGAAGCTGAAGGATAATTGTGTATCAATATAATTCAATGAAATGGAAATGTATTGAATTTGCCTTCCGTTTTTAATTGAAAAGTAAAAGAAAGAAAGGGTCTAAACGCCATGTTTACAAAAACATATCCATTTGTAAAGTTTTCTTATTTATCAATTTTGCTTCGTATTGCAGACTATATTTTTGGTTGCTTTCCTTAGCAAAGCTAAACCTCGGCGATTTTGGATAAATTTTCAATCCCGTCCTTGATGTTTCATAATTTCGTGCCTGACCAAGCTACATTTGTTTTGGATATTTTTTTAGTTGTGAGTCAACTTTCAGTTTAGTAAAATTTAATCAATGCATATCCAGCTAAATTATTTATGATGTAATTATCGAAGCAAATCGAAACCGCCTTTTCATGACTCACCTGCCAATATGAGCTTGTTTAGCAGCAAGTTTTGTAATGTTGTAAAGGGCATTTTATCAGGGAAAGTTTCTAAGGTTGGGAATGAACTGAGGGGGTTTTAAGCCACGGGTCAACCCGAGGTCAACCACCAAAACAATTAAAATTGTTATTTACACTGAAATTGAAAAAATTATTCACTTCGGTAATCACAAAGACAACAATATTGAACCTTATATGACATCCATGGAGACGAAGATAGATTTTCAGAAATAAATAAATGGGAGAGAGAATCCTTTCAATTTTCAGCCTTGGTGTATGCTTTGTTTGTTATAGATTCAAAAATATCCTACTCGGCCACCTGGCACTGGACACATCCATTAGACATTTTTCTAGCACTGCACCGCCCCTGTTTAGGGCATACTGGAAAAACCAGACCCTATGACCCTAGGACCCCTATGACCCCTAGGACCTTTAACTGCGAAGAACCAAAAAGGACCCTTAACTACTACATGATTTGCGGCTCCCCCAGAGCCATGCTTTTTAATACTATCATGTTGACAGCTTTGGAAGCATTCCGACTTTGGCTCAAACATTGTCATTTCACGATCATGATCGTCTGTCTCCTGTTCTTTTATGAGTTCCAGGAGGTGAATTTCCCACCAAATTCGCTACGAGTTTGTTTCAAAAGTCCCTTTTGATTTCTACCAGACTGCGAAATTATATTGTGATATCCCCCAAAACTACACATTTTTAGGCGCCTATTGCGAAATATTTCGCAGAGGTGAAATTAGAATTCTGTTCGAAGTCAAAAATCAAAACTGCGCCCTCCCCCTCGATATCTTCACCAGCGATTTGGCTGCGAAATTCGCCTCGTGGCAATTAACCCGTGCAGTGTGTGCTGTATGGGCGGGGAAGTTAAAGAAGTGCGGAACTTCGGGGAACTTTTTAATGGAAGACTTTTGATTTGGGGTTGTGTAAACGCCTTTTAATATTTTGACTAATGGTTTGCCCTGAATTCTAGTGCTCTGCAGCTGCACCCTGCTCTGCCAACATTGCCCATTTATTTCAACAATGTACTTCCCTCTAAAGGCCCCCTAAACCCTGGTCTGACAAATTCCGTTATCTCATGCACAGTATTTGAAGGCTGGATGAAATGTTTTTGCTTCTGTTGTCTGGTCAGTTACTTAAAAGTGATTTTCTATGCTTGCGTCGATGGTGTTTTTTGTCATTAGTCCGTTAGGATTGGTGTGTACGTCATTAGTAAAAAGGCATGGCTCTTCGTAGTTAATGGTCCTAGGGGTCATAGGGGTCCTAGGGTCATAGGGTCTGGTTTTCCAGTATGCCCCTGTTTAGTTGAGGTCTGTACGTAAGCAGTTTCTAAAGAATAACAGTTTGTTGACACTCAATAATACAATTTTCTCACAGAAAATCGATTTAATCTCAGTTTAAAACAAAACTTTGTGGTCAAATTCTGGAGGCGCCACTCTTTGAACAATTCAAACGCGGGTTGCCCGCAGAATAACAATAACATTGTGGTTTGAAAAAGAGCGTGAAAATCGCAATCACAACATTACCAGACAATAAGAACAGTGGTAAGTGCAATGGAAGAAGAGAAAAGGAATGTTAGTTATACAGCTCTCAAGCTTTGTCATGCCAAGAGCCTGCAAGACATTTCAGAATTAAAAAAACTTCGTGAATCTGTGGGCAAGAATATTTTGGAAGCGTGCTTGTTGGTTGACAATCACGAAAGGGATTTATCACAGCATTGCCAGAATCTTAGGCGTACTCGTCAAAATTTCTCTATATTTGAAAGAAAACTATCCGATGCAAGCTTTCATCCAGTTACTAAGAAATACCAGAATGAAAGATACTATGTTTCGTTGTCAAGCGGGGAGGAAGGTTCGGGGCTTCCTTCAAAAAACAGAAGGCCTACGGGCTACAAGGGTGACAAGCGAATGCAATGCAGTGATGCGCAAAGTTTGTCATCAGCCTCGAGTTATTCACCAAAGGAATGTCGCAGGAACAGCATTTGGAAACAAATATCTGTGCCAATTTACGAGGATAGCATCGACAGTGGAGTTTATCTATCAACCGATTTCTGCCAAGAGGTTCTGGATCCCCGAAGTTCTACGTTTTGTTCAGACGACGAGAGGATTCAATATGTAAGCCACAGGTCGCAAATTCGAAAGGATCCTGGTGAGTCTTGTACAATAAGGGGGTGTAATTGGAATAAAAATAGTCTTTTATTGCTCCAAGGGGAATAGAAACACCTTTAACCTCGGGTCGTTCTGTTCCATGTGTTTTTTCATCGCAAGCTCTTTGTCTATTTTTTCTAAACGTTTGTAGTCGATCATTCAAATACCACTGTTTAGCTTATCAAAACACAGAGGACATGCCGTTTTCATTGATTATGAATTTTGAAGCGGTTTGCGACAAAGTTTAGCAATAAATATATTGGATGCGTGTAACAATTTCTCCCTTCCTGACTCATACTTTGGCTCCCGGAAGGTGCAAATTGAAAAATTTATTACCCTCTCGTGCGCATTCAAATTACTCAAAGGGGCAGGGATTCGATTTTTAAGGTGACTGGAAAATAATGGGAAAACCTATTTTTAAATTGCAGTTTGTAACTTTAAGTTAAAAAATATAAATGAAGTAATTTTTGCATCATATTTTGCTGCTCACTACACAATATGGTTTTTACCGAATCGAAGAAAAGAAAAAGTATTGGGGGAAAGGCAGTGGCGGAAATTCAAACTTTCATTGGGGATAACATCTTGGCTTTAGCTGTAGGCACGTTAAACGACGAAAGCCTGAATTTTTCGACGGGGACGCTAATTGGGGAGGTTGGTAGCACCCCCACACACCCGATTTTACATAACCTGGGAAATGGAATTTTTGAAGGGGGGAAGTTTCGAGATAAATCAGAGAAAGCAAGAAGTGGTACTATCAACAAACCAGAATTAAATTTCATTGATTCTACTTCATTGATTATAACAATTGCAGTTACGAGTTAAGAAAAAAATTATATAGTCTTAGCAACTTATGGTCGTGATATTATGTCTGGGTTGCTGTGAAGGACATTGAGTAAAACTTAGCATTGTTTAATTAGGCATTAAGGACCACAAATCGTAACATCCTCATCAAATTCATTATTTTAAACCACAAAAAGTTAGTCTAATCTGTGTTTCAATCTTCTACCGACACCCCAAAACTGCAGTTTGGGATCTCCGAAACAACATTTCAGTTGCATTGAACACAGACAAGTCCCTCTTTGGAGTAAGTCACGAAGTTTCGGGGAAGGGGTGGCGGTTGGTTGGTCTCTAGCTTTCCCGAAAATAGCTCGACAAAATATGGCAAGAAATTTAAGGATACCATCTTTAGCGACAAAAAACTGTCCCTTTGTTATGTAGACTCTTTCTGGTGCAGGCCCTTTATTGTGAGATGATTACGAATCGAAACCACTTACAAACAGAAAAACTATTGTCTGTGAATCTAATTCTTCCCTGTCGTGTTTTAAGTGCATGCCCTGTTGGACATTAGAAGATTGTATGGGCATACACCCTAGCGCATCAAAAGATTGAGCATCAAAAGATTGAGCATCAAAAGATTGAGCATCATAATATTGAGCATCAAAGGTTGAGCATCAAAAGTTCTCCATCCGGACTAGCATCCTTGAGGATTACCTCACTGTCTCTCTTCAATAAAACCTTGAGGGATAATAAACCACCCGATGCAAGCTTTGTTTAAGATCTCTGGTCTCCACTATACTACCAGCAGGCCGTTTGCCTGTCCTCCAAACCTTGTCATCTTTTTTAAATGAGCAAGGAAAATTTTCCGCCAACATAAATTGATGAATTTTCAAATGAAGTTTTGCTAGCTCAATGGCGGGTGGTTCTCTTAATTGGCCTTTAAGGGAGGGGGGCTGTCTGCCTCTTTTGTGTCAGTCGTATTTTTTCCATTTTCCAAAGTTGCTATTAGCCTCAAAAATCTTAGAAACTACTTGATAGTTTTTCTTCTTTCTAAAGTATTTTTCAAGAAATTGATAACCGTTCCTTTTTTCATCAGCTAACAGCCCTACATCTGATTCGGACACAATGAGCTCCGTTTCGTGCAGAGCCAGCCTTCCGATTGGTACAGCAACGCGGGACCGGGTAAACAGTAAAAGTCAGTTTGTGCTATCAAATACCTGGCGAAGTACTCCAAATATTCTCGAATGCCAAAGTGATGGATCCGCACGGCGTCGTTGCTCACTCACTGATGCTTCCTTTAGCGATCAACCCTTTCCGACCAATCGAAAAACGCGGTTGATGCCCAGAGAAAACAGGAGTGTTTCAAGAAAATGTGACTGGAAAAGTATGCCGGAGCTTGTCTCTTCGAAAAGAAAGGACGAAAATTGCAATAAAAATAAAGTGAAGAAGAAAAAAAGAGGGTTCTTCTATTTGATGCGAAGATTGACAAAGACTGGGGAATATGTTTTGAAAGATGACACGGGTGAAACAAAGCAATCTCGGAGAAAACGTCATTCGAAAAAGGAAAAATGTAGCGGCAATTGGAGTATTGGGTCTCCAGCGTTTGGATCACCCCTGGGAAGAGTAGTTGAAGTTATCGAAGGCAAGGAAAATCTGTATCGAGTTGAGATAAAGCTGCCATCTAATGGCCTGTATGGTTTCTATATACAGCAGGGCTTCAAGAAAATAAAAAAGGGAATATTCATCGGATCATTCGTGAATGAGCAAACCGAGAAACTGTTTTCAGGAATCTTGAGACGGGGGGATGAAATTATTCGACTGAACTCGTTAATTGATGATAAGTTAACTTTGAAAAATGCTTTAGAACTTTTGAGTAATGATGAGCTATTAAGTATCATTTTGTTGCCGTATTCTCATCGAAAAAGTAGACACTGAGGTTGTTTATTTATTCGTATAAAGGCAATTGCCTGTAAGCTACTTTAGAAAATTTCATATTAACTATTTTTTTTATTTTCCATGTTTTCATATTTGAGGTTAGTATGTCTTTGAGCTAATCACAAGGGGGGGAGGGGGGGGTGTTGCGTTGAATTTTCTTTTTAGCAGATCTGGTGATGAAGATGAGATTTTTCAAAAATCCGCATGCTATGTTCTATATTTTATGATAAAAGATGGAAACTGTAATACTGACTCAGTGAGGAATGACGTAGTCTCTTCTTAGTACGCAAGGAAAGATGGTAAGGCACCAGAATCATCAGTATGCTCGGTTGGCTCACATTGTAGGCCAAGTGACTAGGTTGCATTGCCTGTATATACAGACGCATATTTTAGAAACCTGGTTTTTGTACATATTTATAATGCTTTAATATTGAAGCATGTTATCAGCGCATCGTAACTGCTCTATTAACACCGGGGGCTTTTTTGGTCCCAGATTTTATAGGGAGTGGCTACAAGAGCGAGGGACCAATCAGGGTGGAAAGGGAGGTTGATACAAAGACCGAACAGATAAAATGCTTTTGCAGTCGGGAACTGTCTCCGTGGTATTAAGGAGTGAACCGAAAATCTTATTGGTTATTCACTAAGCGAGCTCTCTTTATTGCTTTGAAACCTGTTCGAATATGATGGCTTTTTTTTCATACACACCGACTTGCGGATAATTTGTTTGTAAAGAATATCAAGCTTGTACTAAGCAATTTATGAATATAAGCATAGATTTTCTGTATTCCACACGACTCGTCGTTAATTTTGCACTAAAACCATCTGCAGGTAACCGATTTGTTAACCAAGAATAAAAAGTTTATTCATTTGTTTTTTTTTAATAAGGATGGAAATAAATAGTACCTGTGTTTTTACTCTTCCTTTTCTGCATCGTAATAACTCTGCATGCAGTAGAGCAAAGATGAGGCCCCCAGGTGCCTATTTCGCTTCCCCAGTCTTTGGCCGGCCACTTTTTGTTCCTGCAGAAGGTGCTGTGGTGAAAATCGAGAGATCGCATTTTACAATCATGAACTCCATGTAACTAAAAACAAAAGAACGAAAATGTTGTTAATTTACATCCTTAGAGTGAGATGTTCTCAAAGAAAAATGAGAATTATCTGCTACAAACCCCAACATCTCACCCTGAGCAAGTAGTGTATTTTACTTGTTTTTCTAATAGGAGCGATGCAAGGCTCAAGCCACAAAGGAGGTGGGGGAGGGGCTGGCCGCTCTAGTTCTCTGCTAAATAGAAGATTTAAATCAGCCAAAATTTTAATATGGATACACGTTCAGATTCTGGCTGCAAAAGTTTACTCAACATTTATATGCATAGAAGCACTTATAGAGTAAACATCTAATTACAGAGAACTATAAGTTAATTTGAAATATATTAATGACGTTAGTGGTGTACTTGGCTCTATTACTTGATGAAGGAACTCTTTTCTGGGTGGCTAACCAGAGCCTAGAAGCCGGTAGGGTCGAAAACCACGAAGAAGGTCTTAAACCATGAAACCCAACCTCTTGTTTCATATGTTTTTAAGAAAGGCTTTGGAAGCGTGGAGATATTGTCTAGGGCAAACCTGAGCATCTTACGGCCTGTAGGCCGCATCCGGCCTTTTAACGTTTCTGTCCGGCCTACGCGAGGGTGTTATCAACCAGTCCACGAGCTTTGGTTTTTCCCACTTGACCTACAACAATTTCACGTATTTATATAAATTATCTACGTAATACTTTGATCTTCCTGATAACCAGTAGCAGCAAAAATATAGCATGATTTATTGCTTTTTATATTGGGTGAAAATTAAAATTGCTTAAGAAAGCTATAGTTGGACTGGCCTTCCAACACGGTTCAGGTTTGTCATATGAACCCTTGTAAAAATAACTGTCTACCATTGGTCCAGGGGGAGAGTGGCAACTGCCTGGGTTCTGTTGCAATGGTTACATTTTCGATCGAAAACTACTGACTTTCTTGGAATGTTTTTGACATTCAAAAAAGTTTTTAACTTTAAGGAAGATTTCCGTCGTCTTCCAGCATTGCCTTTATTCTGACTGACTTATTGAAACTTGTAGTTGAGAGAAAATGTAAGTAAAAATAGCACTGCTAAAAATACAAATTGTGTTCCACGCCTTTCAGCATTTAAAATACTGCGCATGCGCTTGAAGAAATCATTGCTCTTATTGTAAACCCGTGGTCGGAAAATTTGCAAGCTGTGCTGCCCCCCTCCTCCTTATAGTCACTATCAATGATGCACCTGCAGTTTTGCTAAAGTAAGCGTATAGTCTCCAGAAGCTACTATAGTTATGCAAAGAATTTAAAGATTTTGAAATTTTTCTGCTATCCCTGCAAAAAGTGCAGTTTAATCTGCATGAAGCAGTGGATTATATGTCAATTTATTTTTACGTTTATACCCTTATTTCCAAATTTTAAAAACGACTTCTCGATATTATTTACTTATATTGCAAACAAAGTAAAGAAACATCCTGCATTACCATCATTTTCTACAGTGGAAATTATTCTGCTAAAAATTATAAATATTTCATTCAGACAGTATCCTTTGATTCCACTGTTGACGTTATAACAAAGCCCTTTTCCCCATGACGTAACGAACACCATTAATTATCAACAAATGCGCTCTTTTATTTTTCCTTTTACAAAGAAAATAATTCATGATCAAATTCAGGATGAAAATAAAGTTTGATTGCCATTTGATTGCCAAATGATTGCTATTTAATAGATTTTTCTTCTTCAGATAAAAAAACTTCTGCACTCATTTTCTGATAACAACAATTTACCAAAATACAACACACTCCTCGAAATTTTTCAAAATTGAGAACAAAAAGCTAGCAGGGGGTATACTCCCCCCCCCACCTTTTTGTAATAATAGGTAAGAAAATTCTTGGAAAGTTTACTCTAACGGATCCTAAGTAGCAGCAATTCTTCTTGACTGGAAACCCTTTCTGCTCATTCTCTCGGCGTTAAATCTTGTTTAATGATATGTTGTATTTTCTAACTTGGTAAGCTTGATATTTTATTACCCTCAAGCTAATTATATCTACTTTATAGTAATTAAAATTTTCTCTGAATCGTAGTTTTTTTATATAACAAGTGGAAAGAAGCAATTATTTCTAAAAGGGGTGTTTTCCGGCGTTCTTAAGGGCGTAGCCTCAAAAAATTCTGGTCACGCCATTTGCAGCCTCCTCACTTTTAGACTAGTCGCGCGGTGCCTGGGTGATATTCTATATCTAAAGTTAAATGACGTGCTTTGTTTTCAATTTTATTTAGTTTTTCAAGATGTTATCAATATTGATTCTGGCAAAATTGATAGAAACGGGACTACGAACATCCAAGAAGAGAGCATAAGAATCGATCGCCTATGTAAAAATCCCTTGAAGAACTCAAAATATCATGACTTACGGTAGCATAATTGTCTTACTTTGAGTTGTTCATAGCAAAATTAGCTCTTTTCCTACAGAGTTTAATTAATTTATCGCCCTATGAATTCATTGTTTCGTCCTGTGATAAATTAGAGGGCTGTTGCAATTCTTTAATGGTTGAGACTTGATGGTGCTTTAATTAACATTTCTCCGATTCCAAGCCAATCTGATCTTATTCAATTTAAAATGTTGTTATCACAGTGAGCATATTAGTTTTAGCATTTCATCCTCTCTTAAGCAATATGCTACGATCTTTATTTTTCAAACTACATAATTCTCAGGCACCGTGGAGCGCTGAGAAAAGTGGGGGGTCTAGAAAAGTGGGGGGTCTAGAAAAGTGGGGGGTCTAGAAAAGTGGGGGGTCTAACCGTATAAAAAGTGGATTTACTGGTAGTTTATTACTTAATATTTGGAATTTTTTACAAAAAGTAGGGGGCCCTCGATGCTTGGTCTCTCTCTAAGGCTTCAAAACATTCACTGCCAAAGTAACGTGACCCTATAGGCGGGATAGATACGAACAAAATGCAATCTCTTTTGTGCGTACGAATCAGTTCGAGGTGAATTCATGTAACCAGCATCAGTTCAACCATTTTTATATTCAATAGATACCTACGCCGAAATGGTCAATAACCTTTCTAGAAACTAAGGAGCCATTTAAATATGGTTTAAATACTCCTATAAATCAAATCCCAATTAATCCAAAAGATTAATATCTGAGTTTATCATAGGTCCATTAATATGTAGCTACCATTTCAATTGAAATAACAAGTTTAGCGAGAATAAGAATCAACTTCAAATTTAAAAAGAACTTTTCAATAAACGATGTATTTTGCTAGTTACAAATGTCAGAATGTCTCAAATGTTTAATCATACTACTCTTATCTACAATATCTATATCATATTAAGAAGAGAGAGAGAGAGAGAGAGAGAGAGAGAGAGAGAGCTATTGTGACTCAATTGTGGTCTTCATTATCAGCATCAGCTACAAGCATGTTGAATACGTTCTTAGAATATCTCTTACCATCTCTTACTATCCAAACTTTGCAAACGCACGGACCATGACAAAAATCTGTTCCCCAAAATTCATAGAAAATTGGGCACAACTTTCGTAGAAATTTAATCTAGCCAAGGATTTGACAGCATTGGCTTAGGGAACTGCCATTGAAAGTAGGAATGTTGCGTTTTTATATCCTGGTATTATGTTGGTAGACAATACAGTCTTTCCGAGGAGATATCTTTCTAGATAAAAAGAATACGCTACAATTTGGCGTAGAGTCCATTCAATATATGGGAGCGAAACTCTGGAGTGACCTATCAGCTGCTGACATTCGCGACTGTACCTCGAGATTTTTATTCAAAAAGAATTTGAAACATCACTTGCTAAATACTATGTGAATGCCTAAATGAAATTTTATTCGATACATTTAACACATTTTTAAATCGCCATTGCATTTATAGTTCTGATAGACGACAGGGGGGCTCTCATCTCGTTGGATTTCCTACTTTGCAAGCTCCTCCGAAAGAATTCTACTATAGCTAGTTGTATTTTGTTGTTGTTTTTTCCTCAATGTTGTTATCATCAGTATATTGTTAATAATTATTATTGTAGTAGATACTAAATCAGATCAAATCAGATTAGCTTAAAATACATCCCAGAATGATTTCTTGCTTCTGTAACGTTTGATAGGTTTCTTACACCTCGAGGCCCTAGGAAATTATATATCACCCCAGTCCCCTCTCTTTGTGACCCTGGGTAGGTTTAGGCTATCAAAGTTTGTGAAAAGTACGGAAAATTTGCTCGCTTTGACTATAAATTATAGCTTCACCACTGCACACTTTCACTGTTTATCACCACACAAAACCGTTTTATATAACTACACAAACTGGTTATCACTGCACCATAAAACTAGGTATGTTTTGGGTGGGCTTTCGGTTAGGCACGTTGAACATTTGTTAATTATCCGCAAAAAGTCCAAATTTTCCGATAAGAACGCAAATTACGGGGGGTCTGAGCCCCCATGCCCCCATGCCCCAAAAATTTCCACCACTGAATCCTCCAAAATTAGACCAGTCCCCCCCTCTGGGGCACAGATATAAATAGAAACCCACATGTACAATATTTACCTGATCACATGGGGGTTTGAGTGGACATGACCCAGTTCAGCCCGTAGCAATGTCCTGAATGACATAACGGAAATTTTCAAGTCAAAGAGACAGACACTTTCCGGGTGAAAAGGCTTAATTGCAAAAAATTGATAACGATTCTAACCATTTACACCCATTAACGATTTTTTCAAATTAATCAAAATACAATATGTACCCATAAAACGATGTCCATAATACGAAAATAGCGTTGTCTAATTAAAAAACCTAGCATAGATAAAAGCGATACTGGAATAGATGTCATAGATGCCAAAACGTACTTGGAGACCCACGATTTGCTGATTTTAGCCAAGAAGTTCCTTTGCACGCATGACAACTAGAAAATTTGATAAGCTTCTTAGTCCCTAATAATGAATAATCGCACTTTTGCGGCATGGAAACAACTGGTTTGAGAGCAAATACCGTTTGAAATCTCACCTTGAAATTCTGATTCTTTACCAACTTTCTTTCAATTAAGTTAACGGCAAAAGTAACCAACAGTACAAGGAGATTCTTCCGGTGAATCGTAAGATATTCTGGAAAATGGGAACTTGCCAGCCTAGTAAATCTGGTTTCGAAACAGCGTGTGCTGCAGAATAGCAAACCTCGCTTAGAGTTTGCACAGACCGCAATTGACGAGGAAGCACTTCATGCTTTTAACGTCTTTAGGGAATATTCGAGGTTTTTATGTTCAAAAGAACCAAGCTCAATGCTTAATTTCAGTTTTACCGGGGGAGGGGAGTGGGTTTGGGCGAACAACTTTTGGGAACACGAATTTTTATCACTTATGATAACCGTAATTAAAGTGAAATTTAAGATAACAAAAAGATCTAAATATCGGTTGTGGTACCCTTATCAATATTTTCTTAACAAACTTTGCCGAAAAAGACACTATTCTAACCCTATCTTACTACTACTAGTAAAACAAAATTAGTATAAAATTCACATCAGGCCTGATATATGTAAAATGATGTTCCGTTTACAAAACTCATAAAAACGTACAAAATGCGTAGAAAGTGAATGAAGTTAAAATGGCTATCTTTAACATACTAACTAGGGGGGACATCCAGCCTTTGTGACTTTCCATTGTTTTAAACAATAGATCATTGTCCTCCTCTTTATATAAGGAAAGACTTGTCCCCGCAGCTAATTTCCCCTTTAAAAGGCTATGGAAATTAATTAAGTGAAATTTAGACAATATGGGCAATCCTAAATATAGAAGACATGTAAGAGTGTCAGGAAACCCAACGTAATAATGTCCGATGAGGAATTTTCATAATGGATAACTCTGGGATCAAGAATAAAAGATGGGGTTTAAAGAATCGGAGGCCATGGCCAAATCCAAAATTGAATATTTGGGGGGACGGAGAGAGGTTCAATTTTGAAAAACAATTAATGAAGATAGAGCATTGCTAAAAGTGGTCGCAAAAACATTTTGAATTTAAAGTTACGATAAACGTTTTTGACACGATATTTGGTTTTCTCTCCCTAAAAGTAAAGGTATCAACGGAATCATATAGAACTATACAACATTCGATGCACAAGAACGTGGCGATTCCAACCATATCAAAATAATTGGTAAATATTGTAAAATGATATTTTTCAGGCAACTTTATTGCTCAAATGAGTGTACCACCTTCAAAAGCTATTTTGTACCCTTGCGTTTGAGGTATCAAAATCTGACTTGTATCAGCAGAAAGCGCAGATCCTAAGCTACCATGTAACACAGCCGTGCATGGGATACATGGATGTGCCGGCGATATTGTAAATGAGACATGGGACCACAACCGCAAAGCAACGATAATCGGCTTTACAGGTCAAGAGATTTTTAGACCTCAACTAAAAGTTTTGATAAAGAAATTCTGGAAACCTTCGTTTACATGGGATTTCTTCCATTTTCAAAATTTCTGTTAGTTTCAAATTTGGTATCATTGTGTTCCTTGAAAGTTCGGCTACTTGAATGTGAAATAATCAAAAATGGATGTTTTCATCCAGAAAACGTTTACCGTAACCTACAAATTTCTAATCAATCTTTTTGTCGATGAAACAAGTGGTTGAAATGAAATGCTGATATCGTCAAAAATCTTGAAACAAATAAACGAAGGGAGCGTTTATTCCCGACACAAGAAAATTGCTGTCGAAAGTTTTGAAAGTAACGTTCGGATTTCGGGACTACGATCTGAAAATGGCTAGAAAGGGGACGATATTACGAACGTAAAGTGACTTTTTAATGCATTAAATTACATTAAAATGTTTACACGTACTTCAGTTTATATACTGTGAAACTCTTCATGGTACCTTGTGAGATCTCCTTTTCTTCCCATTATTTGTAATGCTCCTAAAAGTTGCGCGCAAGATGCGTTCGGCTCACGTGCCACAATGCCCCGAGTTAAGGCCCAGCCATCATGAATTTCAATTTCGCTAAGATCGCGTGTTATGTAACGGTATATTTGCACGAGATCTTTTTTGTATAACTTAAGCTGCTGTATTTGTGCACCAATATTTCTATTTTCATCATCTATAGATTGATCTAGTGAATAAAATAAGATTGTGAATAAAGATTGGGAATATAATATTTCAAACATAGTAAACGGTTTAAAAAGCTCAAAAAGAAAAAAGTATTACTATCATACTATAACTAATAGCAAATTTGATTTAACTGGATTCAAATTCTGGTACAAAACACAAACTAGTTGCATAAATTATAAATAAATCAGTTAAAGCACAAAACAACAGCAATAACATTATCAAAGCGAAAAGCCGAAGCAGCATTCATTGCGAGGAGCCTTCCTACTGGAGGACTAATACTCATAAATGCAACATACAAACTACAAAAATGTCTCAATCTACATTGGGACGCCGCGGTGCCAAAAAATTTTCTGAACAAGCCCCAGAGAACATCTCCTACTTCTTACGGAAAATATACTGACCCATTAAGGACGGGTAAAACAACAACAACATCATTCTAAAACGAGGCATGTGAGAAGTCTTTCAGCCATCAAATCAATAAAAGAACCAAAATTTTTTTTATGTGGCTTACCAGCTTTTGCACCACATTCACAGCACAGTTTCAGTTTCAAAAGATTCTTTGCTGTCACCTTGAAAAGCAGAGAAAGCTATTTCACTGAAAAGTATTTCGAAATGTAAGTAAGGCAAATGACATGCTAATCCTTTCGTGTAATAGCATCAGCTGTTAAAAAACATTCGACATGAAGGTCGAAGAGAACAACGACTTCTGTCGTATATTACAAAATTAATCGGTTATGTTATATCGTTTCTTGTATATAATTCAAAAGACCAACGAAGTAGTCATTTTCCATGTCATAAAAATCAATGTTGAGAACTCTTGGATTTTGAACAAATAATCTGAGAGAACATTAGCAAAAATCTTTACTTTGCAAAATCAGCTAGATCTGTAACAGTTAGGATGAATTTGGACCCATGAGTTCACGTCCCCCCGGTTCTCGGAGGGATCAAATTTTATCAATCGTCTAAATTTGATGAGAAAATGTTAGGGGAGAGGTAATATTCTAACAGCGTACTTTTTCTGATGTAATCTCTTGATTTTCAAACTGCCTTTATGTAACCAAAATTGAGTCATGGGCGTTCCCTTCAGATAAAATCGGCGTCCCCTTAAATATTGGTAAAAGGCGTTTTCTGGTGATACAAGGGCGTAGACTAAACATTTTTGTCTTGATCCCCCCCCCCCAGAGCTTAGTGACTGGCACCGCCATTGCCATGAATATAGGCCTTCCTCCATCCAGCCACTTTACCTTGGCCCTGGTTCTAAAACTTCAAAATTCAAACATAAAGTACAAGAATACGCAAAGTCAATTAACAAAAAAAAAATTACAATTATTACTAGAAGACAAATTATATAATCTCTGCAATTCATATTGAGGTTATGTAGGAGGGAGAAGTTATTTTTGGTGTTTGGATAATAAATGTTCTGCATCGATTTACGATTTAAAGTTTCATTGCAGTCTGTAAGACGTCGAATTTATTAGTGTTAAAGAACAGCAAGAAAAAAAAAATCTTAGGGTAAAAAAAGAAACAGAGAGACAAAAAAGAGTAAAGGATTGAGACGTCACAATTTTCTTCATTTTTATTGTGTAGTTAGGCCTTATTAGGCAGGAAAGGTCTTTCATTAGAAAGTTGGGGTGCTATACTTTGCCTAGCTTTATAAAAGCCATTTTTTGCAGCTTTAGCTGAAAGATATTCTAGTAGGGTTCTCTTCAATTTGCAACCTATTCTGTTCCGAATCTTGACACTTTAAAGACAATAAACTTTTTCCCGGCAATGTTTTGGGCAAATTTATGGATTTTGAACTTTTTCAAAGAAATCACTGAAGACTAGTATGAAGTTTATTTTGTTCCAATTAACCAAGTTCAATTAATAAGAGCCCTTGATTAGCGTTTAAATCCTTAAACTAAGCAAAGAAAACATTAATCCGTAAACTAACCTCGAATCGTCGTTGGGCCATATCGCAGAAAATATGAACCAGATTTAACTGATTTTGCATATTTAGAGACATTTCAAAATGTTCTTTCTGCCCATATGTTCAAAAATTCATTTTCTACGTTCTATTTCAGTGATGCTATCATTATTGGCCAGAAAAAAACTACTTCGTTTGGCGCGGGGCCCTGGGCTATTGCCTAGTTGGCCTTTGCGTTAACCTTTGCGTTAATCCAACCCTGGTGTCATGTCTTGTGGCACTTAAACACTGTTATCTATGTAAAAAGGAATAGAGCTAGTTTATAATTTTTGAAAGCAAAAAATAAAAAGCAAAAAAATTAGTTTATTCTACCTCTATCTTTTGGGTCAGTGTTTCATCCTCTGTTTCTACGGATAAAAGAAGGTCAAAGATTGTTTTATTTAAATATTCTTAAAATACGCACTGTTAAAAGGTTCATTTGCATTGTGGGATCATACATGTTGAAACGAGCAAACAATTTATGATTACAACGAAGATCAACTTTGCTTAGACGTGGATAGACGCACCGTAAAGCAAAATTTCGGTCTGATACAAGTCTGAGCAAATCAGAAAACAGATTCCAATTTCTAGATCTTATCCGACAGCCAGAGGCAGAGTCAGGAAAACATCACGGCCCCACGGCCACTGGCCGGAGGAAGTTGTAGAAACAAAAGGGAATCGAGGAAGGTGGCCAAAAATTTGGAGGCATAAGGAAAATAAAAAATCCTATTGCCTTTGGGCTTCCAAAATGCAGTCAGGCAAAAACAAAAAAAATAATCAACATTTATAAACCTCCTGTTTTTAAGATTAAAGTTGTTACAGAACTGCTTTGTACTGTAAAATTTAGGCGCAAACTTTTACAATTTATTATTCAAATTATGACACGCATTTGTAATTAATAGACATAAGGATGTTACTTTTTATCGGTTCCAAAAATATCTATAATTGAAAACAAACTACAATTTTTAATAATGTTTTGAAAAAACAGAGTTGCAAGAAAAGGGGTTAAAACTAGTTGAGTACCCCAACTTTCAGACCACGCCCATTTAATCCATGTAAAAATGAGGAAGGTTTTATATAGTAAGACACGCTTGGCCGGAGGAAGATTGATAACATTTCTGGACTCTAGCCAGAGGTTCTTTTTAGGGAAATTAACTCTTTTTAAACGAAGAAGGCTGGGTCATGTAGCCGTAAACAAACATTTTTTGAGGGACAGGTTTTGGGTATTAGGGATTTTGTTTACAAATCTACAATGCACGGTCTGGCGAAATGGCAATTCATGAAATCTCGATGTTTGCGGCGATCGGCTTTCGTTATATCCATTGTTCGTGGACCTATTTCTGAAGTGCTTTGGGGCATGAAATGATGTCAAAATCTTTCGTGCCAAATCACCCTTCAGTTGCTGTGGTGGATTCATCATCCCAAAGCTTCAATAAAACAACATTGTCTCGCGTCCTTACAAGTGACCTACCCCTTTAAACAGCAGAAAATAGCAATGGAACTGAAATAACAACAGACGTATCGTGCTCATGAAAACAAATAAGACAAATACTTTTGCAGCTTTCTATTTATTCCATTCGAGTGTTGGTCCTCTTGTTTAAGATCAAAATGCGTCAATAAAATGTACAATATTCACTTTGTCCCCTTGTTTCAGAAAAAATACTTGCTTCTACTAAATATCAAAATGAACAATTATAAAGCATTCTAGTAGAAATAACTCTTCGAAACTTACTCTTCATCACGCTATTAGATCGCTTCAGGGAGTCTGCAAAGAGGGAAAAAACATTGCCTTAGAACAAGCATGCTTTTTGCCCAAATATCTGCCAACTTTTTGCAAGATTAACCTTTAATCTTGATCCTTGATAATATGAAGAACTCTCCTCTAAAACGACATATCGCTCCAAAGACTATCGAGCCAAAGACTACATAGCTCACGACAAAACACTCCAGAAGGTTTTTTTAAATAGTTTCAGGCAAGCCAAAATGTAATTTTGAATAGGGGTTGAATAACCTGAATGATCATTATTGTGTAGTGACTCTACTTAGGCCTGTTTGCATCAATTTTTCCTTCTCATTCATTCCATCATTTTCCCACATTTGTAAAATGTTTCTAATGATCGGTTGATTCTCAGGACCTTTAAAAAGCAGAGGATGGCCAATAAATGATGCGACGTAAATCGGTTAAATCTTTCCTTCTTTTCTTTCGATAAAATCGTCCCGGCAGCTACAAAACTTGCATGCTAACAACGGCATAATAATTAACGCGTGACATGGGCATAATCTTTCACAAGAACTATCCCAGAGGTCTTCCAAAACTGATATATCTCCTATAAATATCTCAAAACGACTAAGAGCAAAACGAAGGCGACAAGATCTTTCACAAGCATCTTGCCCCTAAAATGGTGCATGCCTAAACTGCTTTCTCTTGCTGCTACTTTTCCATAATTCTTACTGCCCAAGATGAGGTACGGGGCTCCTATATATACTGAACTAAAAACAATAGATATACGTAAATGAAACGGTGAAAGGAAGAAATCTACTTAGTAACGAGCGGGGTGTGGTAGCGCGATATCCTAAAATACTGGGTTGCTATGGCGATCTACTTAACATGCTGATAATTGACGTAGGTATGAAGTTACTCATAATAATACAAAGATTATCCTAATACACGTGATAGAAAAATGCGGAACGAGCAAGGAAAGTTACAGATAAACAAGAGTGATTAGGTAAGGAAAATTAAACGAATGGACTAGAGAGAAAGGCCTAAAATTAGCAGTATTACACATTCTCACATCGCAGCACAGGCATCCTCTACGTCACTCTCATTTCACGCATTCGCTAATCCCTATTGTTTACATAATCTTTGCCACGCTATTCAATTTACTAATCACCTTCACTCGCCCTTCCTATCCTTTGTTTTCCTCACATCATTCGTGTTAATTTAAGATATTCATTTCTGTATATAAGTATGTTAATTTGTAAGTCAGTTCATAGTTCAGGGTTCAGTTACAATCAAGCAACACACTGTCTCTCTCTCTGGCTCCGTGTCCTCTGCACGTAAAATAAGACTCGCTGGGTTTGGAAATGACACGTTAGTCAAGGATGGATTTATTTAGTGACTGCATTGATCGATGTTCCGATGTACACTAAAATTGTACACTTTCTTTTCAAAAAAATTGTTTTGTTGAAATCAAGATTGCTTTGACTTGATGACGAGTACATACTCGAAACCTCGTGTTTTTACAATCAAAACTTATTTCATTGTGGTACTTAATTTAATCGCTCATAACATTATTGCCAAGTCTTTCTTCTTATGTTGCGAAACCCGGCTGAATTTAGTTTAGGATCCATCTTTTGTGTATCCTTAAAGAGACTACTACAGACAAAACTATAATGAGACTATAACCTCTTGGGTAATAGTATACATGTCACAGCCTTTTGTCGCAGTCGAACAAACGTTCTTCATGGAAGCCAACAAAAATGTTAGCCAGAAGGGTCCCTGAAGCAGGGCCGGCGAAACATAATTGAAAGTGGAGGGGCCAAAAAATCAAGGTTATGAAAAGTTTAAGGAAAGGCCACCATGGTTGGCGGCAAGAAAAATTTTAGAAATATAATATCTAAGGTATGGCCAGAAACAGTATCTAAAATGGATTTTAACTGAAGGAAAATCCGAGGAAATATTTTCAAGCTTTATTTTGTCAATGTGTCGCATAATTTCGTCTATTGTAATAACCTTTTAATTGTAGCTCGTAATCAAGCTTTTTAGTTTAAAGAAGGAGCCAAAATGAAATGAAGGAGAAAATAAATGAATCAAGCTTTAACAAAACCATCAACATTGAAATATCAAAAAAATCACTGTCAACTCAAAATGAAAGAATGTGCAACAAAAATTCTTCATTTCTCATGTTCTCTATAGGTTTTTCAGGACGGCACTCGAAATACTTAAGAACCACTGTTTTATCGTGTGAATCTTTGCGCAATTTCGAGACCATTCTATCGAAAGACTTTGGTTCCATCTAGCAGTTTTGGAATCCATCTACATAAACATGAAGAACACTATTGTGTAGACAGAAAGAGTTCGTTTTCACATTTAGGACTTCATTGGTTATGTTTTCAATAAGCAAGTGACACTGATTGGGTAACCTCAAAAGTCTGTTTCAAGCCAGTGAGGTCTGTTTCAAAATGTTTGCTTTTTTCAAAGCCATTTTAAATTCTGCACCAGCAAAAGAATGTTTGCCAACTTATTAGGCCGATAAATTTCTTCTCTACTTCATTAACGATTTTAGATCGGAAAACATAACCTGAAATTTAAGTAAATATGCCTAAAAGTTCTAAATAAGTTGAATGCGTTAGAAATTGGTGAGTCATCGACAATTAAAAACTTACTGGAAATATTACCTTCCTCTGGTGGAATGTCGACCAAAAGTTTTTGTTCTTCTGCTGGAGAGGCTAGAATCAAAGCAGTGATATATTCAGAGGAACTGAGCTTTAAATTTTGTCGCATCAGTATTTTGTTGATATATCATCATTTTGTTGATATCTAGAGGTCTAGATTTTCACTTAAGAAAGCTGCGTTTTACAATATAACATAATCAGGGATTACATAGTATAAGTATCCTAAAAAAATTAATTACCGGATTCTTGATCGTTTTCTTTTCTATCAACATGATCACTTACGCTAGGAGGTTTGTTCCAAGCGCCTGCATGAAAGAAATATAAACTTGAATCGATTGGCACAGTTCTTTTCCTTGCAAATAGAAGTCTTGCATTCATATGATAATTTCCAAATATCTAATAATGCGGCATCATTCTATAATCTCTGGCATAAATGTAGCATCTACGTATTGCATATTTAGCAGTTGGTGAGATAAAGAATGAAGATAATGTTTTCAATAGGCGACCTCAACAGTCATGTGTTCACGTTTCTGATTGGCCTATTTCGATCCACAACTAGGTATACATATTTCTTAGCGTAAAGTATTCGATCTATGTTTTGACGTTTTATGCTCTGAAGAGTGTCAGGCGAAAACCTTTAGAATGTTTCAAATTGTTTCCTTTTCCAAAGCCATTTTAAATTCTGCACCAGAAAAAGAATGTTTGCCAACTTATTAAGCCGATAAATTTCTTCTCTACTTCATTAACGATTTTAGATCGGAAAATATAACCTGAAATTTAAGTAAATATGCCTAAAAGTTCTAAATAAGTTGAATGCGTTAGAAATTGGTGAGTCATCGACAATTAAAAACTTACTGGAAATATTACCTTCCTCTGGTGGAATGTCGACCAAAAGTTTTTGTTCTTCTGCTGGAGAGGCTAGAATCAAAGCAGTGATATATTCAGAGGAACTGAGCTTTAAATTTTGTTGCATCAGTATTTTGTTGATATATCATCATTTTGTTGATATCTAGAGGTCTAGATGTTCACTTAAGAAAGCTGCGTTTTACAATATAACATAATCAGGGATTACATAGTATAAGTATTCTAAAAAAATTAATTACCGGATTCTTGATCGTTTTCTTTTCTATCAACATGATCACTTACGCTAGGAGGTTTGTTCCAAGCGCCTGCACGAAAGAAACATAAACTTGAATCGATTGGCACAGTTCTTTTCCTTGTAAATAGAAGTCTCCTATTCAGATGATAATTTCCAAATATCTAATAATGCGGCATCATTCTATAATCTCTGGCATAAATGTAGCATCTACGTATTGCATATTTAGCAGTTGGTGAGATAAAGAATGAAAATAATGTTTTCAATAGGCGACCTCAACAGTCATGTGTTCACGTTTCTGATTGGCCTATTTCGATCCACAACTAGGTATACATATTTCTCAGCGTAGAGTATTCGATCTATGTTTTGACGTTTTATGCTCTGAAGAGTGTCAGGCGAAAACCTTCAGAATGTTTCAAAATGTTTTCTTTTTCCAAAGCCATTTTTAAATTCTGTACTACCGAAAAATTGTTTGCCAACCTGTTTAGCAGATAAATTTCTTCTCTGCTTCACTAAGATTTTAAAGGGAAAAACATAGCCAGAGATATCTGTAAATATCCCTGAAAGTCTAAGTAAATTGACTGGGTTAGAAAATGGTGAGTCATAGACAATGCAAAAATTGGTGCAAATGTTACCTCCTTCTGGTGGTGGAATGTTGACCAAAAGTTTTTGATCTTCTGCTGGAGAGGCTAGAATAAAAGTAGTGATGTGTTAAGAGGAACTGAGCTTCCACTTTTGTTGCTGATATCTAGAGGTCTAGGTTTTCACTTAAAAAGCAGTTCAGAAATACTTTACGAGTAACGCAGTGCCTTAATTTCTAAAGAAGACGGCTCGATCAAAGTGATTATTCAAGAATTCTAGAGCTTCTCATAAACAGTAACTGTTAATTGGAATGAAGAAACCATTGGGATCAGAAATCACTTAGTCGTTCAAAACCAAACCAGTCTTAACATATGATCCAGGCTACTAAGGCACGGTTTAAAAAGTTGCAGAATCTAGCAGATATGTTGACAAATGTATTCATAAAGAGGAAACAACGTTTTCTGAGGATGGCTCAAAAAATTCTTCAGAAGCAAAGAATTTTCGACTGTAAAGAGATCTATAGGTACCAAGGAAGCAGGCAAAATATGATGAATTTTCCCAAAATGTGAACTTTTTTTATTGATTTTCAATCCTGCAAAATGTTCAGGGTGTTTTCCTCTTAGTTAAGACAGCATTACTTAGAAGATATCCCACAAATTATTCTCGGTTTTTGTCAATCTTGCATTGTGATTAGTATAGAGCCTAGCAACAAGGTTCCAAAGAAAATTGTCTCATTTGGTAGAAAAAATGTGCCCAAAATAAATATATATTACCAGTAAAAGATACATACTGAGCTCATAGTAAGAAAATATATATTAGTCTTTTTGCAAATATTTTTAACAATTAAAGCTGCAAATCTTTTAAGTTAGAAATCAAAACCAGATTGAGAATTCCTAATGAATAGTTTGTTCTTTATTTTTGTGGAACTGTTTAGTGCAACATTTTCAATTAACAGAAAATGTTTCTCTCAGGAAAAATTTGCCAGAAAGAAGATTGCTTCATGTAGCCATGATTGATGTAAAGTAACTAGATTTAGCTAGTAGTGTATTATGTAGCATGTATTGTATTCTTAGTTGATTGGATAATAGAACAGCCAAATTCAAAGGAACATGTCTAGCAAAGGCTTTTGTCCACAAATGACGCTTAAAAACTGACCTGGCTTTTCAGTGGAGGCAACTGCATAGTTACGCTTATAATTATCCCTGCTAAACGAAGTCTTGTCTTCAGATTTTTGCCGCTCTTGTTCTTCTCTCCTTTCGATCTGAGCTTCTGTTTTGGCTTGCTCTGATTTAGCAGACAGTTCTGCTTGTTGCTTACTTGCTTATCAAGAGCTTCTTTTGCTTCCCTTACCCTGTAACATAACATAAGCGCTTTAGAAACGAGATTTCCTAAATAAAGGCGCGTGTCTCAACTTCTATGGACTGCCCTTGCCTTCGTTTGAAGTCGTGTAACGGCAAACTTGACTGTAAAACTCAACTGAGCTTACTGTCAGTTGATTATTAAATATATGCACACAATATGTAGGGAAACAAATGGTCGAAAAGGTGAGCTGAGATGAAGGGTGAAATGAATACTTGAGGCAAAGAGGAAGGAAAAATAGAGATTAAAGGCTCTTTCGCAAACAACGTGCTTTGTGGTGGCCTTTTGAAGCGAGGAGAAAAGGGTTCTAGTATTTAGTATTTTCATGCAGTATCATATTAGGCGGGTTTTGGACACAGTCTCAAAGCATGCCTGTTGCGCAAGAGCCTTTAAAGGTTACGTTCTTTGTTAGTGACGTAAAGGGTGTCTGTGCTGTGCTGTGATAATTTCAAGGAATAAGGGGAAGAGAAGAGCATGCAAACAGGCCTAAGCACAGTCACTACAATGCTGTCATCAGCAAAACAGAAAACCCATAAGCTGCAGCAAGAGTGTTAACAGCAGTCAAAAATAAATTAAATGCTGTAAAATTATAGCAATGCCTATTTTGCTGGTGTCAAAATGAGAGTAAAACGTTGTATATAATACTTATGTCATTTTTCTACATAGAAGGAGCTATATCAAAGCGGCATCGGTAAACTTTGAAACTTGTTCAAGCTGCCATGGAGGAACTTCACATCAAAGTACTGTGGCTAATTAAAAATCAATTTTATTTCGGAAAGAAAATCACCGTTTCCTCTTTCCTTCTTCAGCAGGTCTGATTTGGTCTTGCTCATCTCGCTCATCTTGCTGCTCCATGGCCCCTTTCTGTAGAGAATTAAATAAGCTACTTTGAAAAAGACAATAGGATAAAAAGTAGCGTTAAACGTTGACAAATACTAAGCTTTTGCTGCAAACGTAGAATAAGCGGGAACCAAGATGATAAAGTGTTGAAATTCCAACGCCATTAACCTTAAGGATGTAAATAATTTGACTTTTAACTAATGTTTCGCTGATACGATTAAATTGGTACAGCCTTTCAATAGTTGCGACAGTAACACATTGGCCTGTTTATAAACGCTAACATTTTGTATCTACTGAAATCACTTTCCAACATCGCAGGACAAAAACAAAACAACAAAGTTTGAATACCTCTTCTTTGTATTTCCTTGTAGCTGTTTGATGCTGATCAAAGCCATCACTAGTGTTTGAGCCTTTGAGAGGAATGACAAAAAATCAATAGACTGTTTGCCAAAAACCGGGCCATAAATACTGTTGTTTATGAGCAAAGAGTATCTCCTATTGTCATCAATAATTTATAGGAAAGGCTAGTGGAAAACAACCAGCACTTTCAAAGGAAATTTTCATAAAAGACCATCGACAAAAGAATACATAACTTGCAGCAAGAAAACGAGAGAAAAGCATTACTCAATTTTCTGTTGAAATTTCGGACCACAAAAGGTGGCCAACTTTGGAAACAGTTTCAGGCTTGCAAAAAACGCGAAAAATCTCCTTAGATACGAAGTATGATTAACTAGGTACGTAAGATATAGCTGTTTTCTACAAGAAACATAGTTGTGACAAAATTTCTTCACAGTTATCCACATTGCATAGATCGATATGGGCACTCTAGTGAAATCTTTTTAATCTTACGAAATAAAGTTGAATCTGGTTTAGGATTTATTTCTTGATGATTCGAAATATAACAAGGAAGATTAAGACAACTGTAGCCTCTTCAAGTGACAATAGTGGGACTACACTGCATGGTCCACAAGTGGATACAAACCCAAAACCTTACGCGCATAAGACACAATAGGTCCACACTACGCAGGGAAACCATCGGGCTTTGAACTGGTTGCCAGACGGGGAAAACTCGTAGGCCATTATTCAGGGAACATAGCTGTTTTTACAATACATTTTACAAGTGAGGCAACAAATAGGATCACAAATCGCAGAAAATGCTTCCTTAGTTAAAGGGATCCAGGCTAGATTTTGACTATAACTATTATTTTTTTAATGTTTCAAACATAGATGAATCGATTGGCAATTCTTTTTTTAGAAGAGACATTTCCAAAAGAACCAAACCTTGAGACTCCGCCACAGAATAACGACTATCTGATACAGCTATAAAAACAAATATCTATAATGAAAAATCAAGCAGCAAATATTTCATGTTTAAGCATTGAATCCGAAAAAATATCAGAATTTATGAATGATACATGCTTCATAACACTTCCTTGTCAAAAGTATTGGACGCAACATGGGAAATTCTTTATGACTACCTCTTTTTAATACATGCTCAGAAAAATTTACAATTATATATATAGTGACTGAAAATACATAGCAAATTTCTGCAATGCATAGAGGAAATAAGTTGTTGCAATCGTTGATGAAATCCAGGGGTCTAGTTTTCAGGCAAAAAATATTTAATTTTACCAAAAACAATGTCTCACTGTAAGACAACGATCGATTGCCACTTCTTTTCCTTGTAAATAGAAGTCTCCTATTCAGATGATAATTTCCAAATATCTAATAATGCGGCATCATTCTATAATCTCTGGCATAAATGTAGCATCTACGTATTGCATATTTAGCAGTTAGTGAGATAAAGAATGAAAATAATGTTTTCAATAGGCGACCTCAAAAGTCATGTGTTCACGTTTCTGATTGGCCTATTTCGATCCACAACTAGGTATACACATTTCTTAGTGTACAGTATTCGATCTATGTTTTTACGTTTTATGCTCTGAAGAGTGTCAGGCGAAAACCTTTAGAATGTTTCAAAATATTTTCTTTTTACAAAGCCATTTTTAAATTCTGTACTACCGAAAAATTGTTTGCGAACCTGTTTACCAGATGAATTTTTTCTCTGCTTCACTAAGATTTTAAAGGGGAAATCATAACCTGAAATAGCTGTAAATATCCCTGAAAGTCCTAAGTAAGTTAAATGCGTTAGAAATTGGTGAGTCATAGACAATGCAAAAAATTGGTGCAAATATTACCTCCACCTGGTGTTGGATTGTCATTCAGAAGTGGTTGATCTTCCGGTGGAGAGGCTAGAATGAAAGTAGTGACGTATTAAGAGGAACTGAGCTTCCACTTTTGTTGCTGATATCTAGAGGTCTAGGTTTTTACTTAAAAAAGCTTCGTTTTACAATATAACATAATCAGATAATAGTATAAGTATTCTAAAAGAAATAATATTGTTAGCGAAAAAGAACATAAAAAGTACATTACTCTATTTTCTGCTGAACTTTCGGGTCAGAGGAGGTAGTCAAATTTCGAAAACTGTCGTTTTGAGCTTGCCAAAATGTGACTCAAACTTCCTAGATGGTGGGCACTTTGAGCATAGATCGATATGGGCACAGCATAGTGGAATAATCTTTTGATTGGCAGAAGCGCTATCATTTTGAATAAATGCGAATTAGCCTCGAGCTATAGAAAACAATGGGAGAGGTACGGCCGAGGGTTGCAGGGCTTTTATTTTAACTTATCTGATGTACACGAGGTGTACTCGGCGCGAAAATCGACAGTTGAAATGAACCCAGCAACGGCAAATCTACAACTATGTCATTAGGTTTTCTTGTTCATCGTCTGAATCTCAAGATATTTATCTTTTTCGAAACAGTACTGTAAGAGGGAAATAAAAAATCGCCTTAGAAAGCATGCTTTTTGTATCTGCTAATTTTGATAAATGACGGTGTTGAGGACACGGAGCACTATTTTCTGCTCTGCCATAATTATAGTATAGATCCATGTGATCTCCTCAACAGTGTAAATGCGATTTTGTTGCCCTATGGTCTGATAAATCTTTCAAATGAAGGTCTGCTAAATATCATTCTCTATGGCCATGAAGAATTACCACTCGAATCAAATTCGAAAATTCCCGCTGCAACACTAAAATATATCAAGGTTTTGAAGAAATTGGTGATACAAACAACATTTTGCCTCTCTCCTCTCCTCTTTCTAGAAATAGTTTCTATTTATTCTTTTCGTTCATTTTGCATCTTTAAATTGTATTTAATTTAGTTTTATATGTTAATTGTAAATTGCCACAGGGTTGCTATGTATTCCCATGCTCTCTGTGGTATTGCCTGGTAAATTTGTGTATGTCAAAACAAGCATTCTAATAAAAAACAACTCGTTACCAGTTCCTGAACCTTCTCCTGAAAACGATCTACCATTAGTGTTGTGTTGGTTCAAAGGTATACCTAAGAGAGAAAGAAAAGGTAGCGTTAGAATAAGCGGATTTTTTTCATCTGTCAACTTTTCAAAATAATCACTCCTAATCTTGATGCTTCCCCTTTTAAACTTAATAAAAAAATGCCTTCCGGACAAAAAGCAATTGCCAATGTATTTGAGATGATGGCATGTTCGAAACAGTTAGCTTCAAGAACCATTCAACACCCATTAGAAGTTAAAGATACACGACGACCTCAAAACAATAAACCAACATGGCGGTAGAACATAATCCCTTAATTGTACTAGGCCGTAGAACACATCCCTAGCTTAATGCATCCAGCATTTACAGTATAAACTTGCCTGAGTGATTTGGCATTGAGTGTTGAAAAGCACCCGGTCTGTGACAATCTGACACCGAGGCGGGGAATGACACCGAGGCGGGGAATGACACCGAGGCGGGGAATGACACCGAGGCGGGGAATGACAACGAGTTACTGAGATAACAGCAACCCAATCGTGCCAGAAAAATGAGATTGATAGAAATGTTAAAAGGAAGTGAAGTGAAGCAACCATTTTTAAAGCAACAATCATTTTCTGAATTCGTTCTTACCATCTTCAGATAGACCATCTCTGTCTCTCCTTCGACCTATAATGATAGGTTGTTCAAAACTTAAAATCTTAAACAATTTATACTCCATTAAAACAAATAAAACAACATACAACAATTATTGTTATAGCGATAACCACTTACTGAAATCGCTCTTACCCGATTCAATATCGCCTCCTCTCCAACCTGTTATGATAAATTGTTCACAAATTGAAATCTGAAACGATTTATACTGCAAAGGAGTGGATAGGATGGTCTTAAAGACAACTGATAATATTCATTATTGTTTTAAAGTTTCGATAGTAATTATAGATAAGATTTCGCGTTATAAAAATAGCAATATAGCACAAAGCAGTCACTTTTGTCGAGCAGGCTTACAGTATTTCCTCTAATGAACGCCGCCCTCTGAGAAACGCCGTCTTCTATTTAACGCCGCAACCAAACTTTGGATTTTTCGATAAACGCCGCGGTGTTCTTTTGAAGAAATACGGTTTAGGTTATTAATGGAAGGAATTTTAAGTGAAATAAGCATTATTTCGAGAATTTGGTTGAACCAATGAGGTGTATTATACACCTCATTGGGTTGAACAAAAAGTGGAAGCTGATTCTGACAGCGAGGCGGGTACATCATTAAAGTCTGATTCGAGTCAACATAAAGTCATATTCATGAACTAAAACGAGGTATTGACATAGCAATAACCCAATCGTGTCGAAACATATTTTTCCATTTTCCAGCTTTCTCTGTGTTCCATTCAACCTAATTAGAAGAATTTCCGTATTCTCGCTGAGAAGAACAATCAATTATTGAGTTTTATGACGTCATCATTTTGAAACTCAATAGAGTTTGGTATAATAGGAATTTTGCGCGACTTGTGAACTGAAGGTCATTAGACTTTTATTATACTGATCAAATGACTGATCAAATATTTGGGGACTACAAAAAATTTTCTCAGATACTAACCTAAAAAACATTGGCTTAGATCTTTCTTTCGGGAACACCATAAGCAGATAAGTATAACAATTATTACAATAACAGCTAGCACAGCTGGAACAACAGTTGTGAGAGAGACATTGCGAGAATTCTCTGCATCACGAGACATCTTAGAAACAGGTCCTATTTTGGATGTTGATGTGTCTTTCGCGACAACACTAGTGCTTGGAAAAATAATTATAGTGCCTGTTCTAATTTTTTTGGTCGTTTTTCTTGTCCTGAACGCAGTTGAAAGCCTGATTATTTGAGTGTATGGAGTAGTTTTTAAAAGCAATGTCGATGCTATGCGTTTTGGTGTTGTGATGGAAAGACTATCAGCTGTTGATGAGCGAGTTGTCATCACATTGGTGGTGTCAGGCTTGGTTTTTGCTGAGGTTCCTGGGATTTTAGTCTCGGTTGAAGTTGCTGGTGTCGTACGTCCTGGGGTCATACGTCCTTTTGTGGTCCTTTGGGTTGTACTTTTCAATGTTGTTGATGCCATGGTAGTTGTCCTTGGAAGGTCTGCACATTTATTAAATTCATCTGAGGAGCAACGCTGTATGAAGTAAAATATCCTTATTAGAAGATTTCAATGACTCTTCCTCTAAAGAGAGTCTCGTGGTCAGGGGCGAAACTACTGGGGGGGGTATGGGGGGTGCTGCAACCCCCCAATCTTCAAAAAAGCAGATTTTGTCGGGCAAATTTATGGAAATACCATCTAGAAATACGTTGTTGAGAAAAATCAATCAATAATTTTTTTTCTAAATGTATGAAACGTTCATCATACATTCATAAGGAGTTATGCCCCAAAATTCTCTTAAGGTTTTACACTTACGGTTCGAAAGTATTGCACCCTTCGCTAGAAAATGGTCATACAGACGCCAAAGTTTTTTAACTAAAAAAATTCGAATAACTGTAACAAGTAACAGAAAGTTTTAATCAGTTCAAGCGGGAAATAATATAAAATTTATCAAGAAATTGTAGTTAAGATATGAATTGCAAAAAACTTTCGAGTTCATTCTATTTCTGAAAAATATCCATGATTACGAAAATATGAAAATTGAGCTTTGATGATAGGTATACCTGTAAAATACCTCCAATAAAAACTTTCCCTTGCTTGAGGGATTTTGTTATGGTGAATTTAGAGATACGTACTTTGTGCTTGGGTGTCTAAAAATGTTGAAATTGCTTCCGGAGCAACCGAAAATTGAAAATGAAACTCAGAAAATGCAACTGAAGCTCTTTTTTGCTGAAACATTGTAGTCTGCGTAGCTGTTTCTAAATTCCGGAATTTCCAAGCTGTGTTTTGGTTCCACTTTGATAAAATTGAGACCCTACTTCAATCTCTTTTTGATTTGCTCTCTTAATAGCTAGGTGATTTAGAAAGTGAAGACTTTTTTTAGACCTTTTATAGAAAAGACAGGCCTTACAGATGCTTGTTTTTTGGAAACAAATGTTTATAGCCAACACCAGAAAAACTAGAGGCATATTTCTTGACTTTTACCCTGGGTACCAGAGCCGCAAAAATTAAAATTAAAAAATTATGAGAGTGTCACTCTCATAATTTTTTAATTTTAATTTTTGCGGCTCTGGTACCCAGGGTACTTGACTTTAAACAAACAGCCTGGGCCGATGATTTCAGCCCTTGAGGCGATGTGCTTCAAAAATGAAGTTCATGTATGACACGCCCTTTCATCAAGCATGCCACGCCCTTTCGTCGGGCATCTAAGCTTCATACCCCCCTAATGAAATTAGTGAAGTTTCGCCCCTGCTCGTGGTGTAAGAGGCGTTTCATATGGTAGAGCGAGAGGTACATAATAACGCACTCTTACGTCATCATCTTTCATGAATCATCTTCCGATTAAGTGGCGGAATGGGAGGGGCTCAGACGCTCAGGCGCTCAGAGGGCTCGGGGAAATTGACAACCGTTTAACGTGTCGAAATTACTCCAAGAAATCGTTCTGAAAAGAATTTTAAGCTAAATTAAGGGGCGTAATTGCCAAATTTTCTGCACGCTTCGCTCGCAGGTGATCAGCATTTTCCTTTCTGTGCCAAAATTTGAACAGCATAGCTGATAAAATATTAGCCGGTACTAAATGATCAAACAAACAATATATGACCAAAATCAAAACTGCTTGTGAATTGTATACTTAATTTCAATTCCTTAAAGGTTAGCCAAACTTCCATCGAATTCTTCGAAATAAAAGCTATTTTAAAACGTATTCCCCACTGAAGAAAACACTATAAAATGCAGAAAGTGAACGTTACAATTAATTTAAAGTTATTGTCACGAAGGACTTGTAAATAGTGTAATCGGTCGACATCTTGTATCATCAATTGTCTTGGCTTAGATGAGACATCGATCTTGATATCAAAAATAATAAATGAATTGTTCTTCTTGCTATTTAATTATGGCTTGTACTTATAAATATACGTAGTTAGTTAGATTCAAGGAGAATCGGAGAGAAATTCAGAAGGTATAGACATGAAAGGCTAAACATCAGAAGGAAGCTAACCGTGTCGCCCAAGAGGCTCGCGAAAGCTCTTGCGCCCCAGTTTGCATTTAGGACAGGCAGTTCTTGAGAAAGACTGCGCTGTGCCTCGTTATATATTTCATTGGATTGTTTTAAGTATTAGAGTTCGCGGAGAACCGTCGTCGTTCATGTTAGCTGTTTGGATTTAAGTTTAGCCTTGGAATTGTTCTATGATGGAAACGGAAAGCAAAGTATAGCCGCTCGCAAGAAATCGTCATTCTCTAAAGTTTCAGTCTTCGCAGTTTATCTCGCGATTTAAACATCCATTTTTCAACTCTATATATAATGTGACTATTAATTAACGGCGCATGCATGATATTTTAGAGGAGAGTGAGCCTGTTACAGTGGCTGGGGGGGGGGGGCACGGGGGCACGACCCTATCGCCGACTATTCGGTAATTTGTCGGAAATTTCGTATCTGTTAGGTAAAAGAATATTTGTAGTTGATAGAAAAGCAAGAAAGTTCTATTTCAGAATAACAAAACATACAGCAAATAGTCCAGGTTTATTTTGAGGTAGGTGCCAACTGAAAGCGCACAAATTGCTTTAGTTACTTTCAACTACCCACAAATGTAGGGGTTCAGAAAAGTGATGGTGAACGGTGATCTGCTGGGACCTATAGGGTGAAAACTAAGGTGAAAAGTTAGCACTCGGAGGTTATGCCAGGCTTAATTTGCATATATTGTTTCGAAAAGATGCTTCCTCGCTTCAATCCCTTTCCTTTGACTATGATGATATTTTTGCCATACATATTCCTAGGACATAGTTGGTGCTTTCTTCCATTTCCTATGATCAACCATACAGATTGAATATCCTAACAAACCAGGGCCTATTTTAGTGTGCAGTATTACACACTTTGTGCAGTATTAATTTAAAAACGTGCAGTATTTATTTCGATAATGTGCAGTATTGAATTTTGGGATTTGTGAAAATGTCTTTTTGCAGCTATCCCAGATTCCTGCTTTGTTCACAAAATGTGAATTTTCCTCGTCAGTTCGATATAGAATTCATGTATTGTAATTCTCGTATAACCATCGGAAAGATTCTCTTATCAAGATTTAAATAAATCGAAATTCCCAGAACCAAAAACAAAACATCTCCTGTAAATATCAGCATTGCTGTAAATTTCGTAATTTGATCTTGTCGAAGATAAAACATTCAGTAATAATTTATCAGTTGCCCTGTGATGCTCTGGGCATCTAGCAGAAGCTCACTTAATTTAACTAAAACAAAGATAAAGAGCCTAATAAAACTTTTTTGTTTTACTGTCCAGACAAAACATGAGATAGTGACTCCGTTTACAAGAGATAAATGACTATGTTTCTATTCAGGTTTTGTAGCTTCTGTTTGTTTTGCTGCTGTTTTGAAATGTTATTGTTGATTGTGTATATCATCGTCTATCTGTTTGTGATTTCTCCGTCATGGCCTATACACGTCTTCAAAATTCAGGCAATTTCCTCGCTACACTTGCATGGCTAAGATACCTGGGGTTTGCAGGGGTTTGCACTGATTGCAACAAAAAAACTTCCTATGAAAAATAAGATTATAAATGTGCATTATTGAAAATTTCTTAAAAATGTGCAGTATTGAAAATTTCTTAAAATAGGCCCTGTAACAAACAGACCTTTCGTTTTTCTGTAACACCTTCCAACACAAGGGTTTCCTTTTTAGAGCCATTGCCATTCCCCGTGAATGCATGAATTTTAATCAAACATCTCCTCTTCTCGGAGACCATTTCTACTTGCGCAAGATATAATCCATTATATCATGTAGATGTGTGTCAAAGACGAGATCTGGGGCGATGCCAATGATCATAAAAGCCAACGATCATTTTAGCCTAGGGAACATTCTGGCAAATGACTGGAAGTTGCGTTTCCGGAAGCATGACGCTGGTGGGGCCATTGGTACTTGTACCAAACTTCATGCTATTATTGTGAAACTTCAGAAAGCAAGTTGTTTGACAAAACGAAAAGTTTCAACAGCCATAAATTTTGCTTATTGATCAGATCACATTGTTCTTTTTATACCTTTTGCTCAGTTTTGCATGTTTTTTCCGATAGTATCATCAGATTTGAAAAATTTGAAATTCAAAATTTGCTGACTGTGCAGTTTTCATGCTTCCGGAAACGCAACTTCCGGTCATTTGCAAGAATGTTCCCAGGCTTAAAATGTTCATTGGCTTTTACTCTTATGATTTAAACTTTAAAAAATAAGTTTAGGCAGGTTGCTAGATGGTTATGCAAAATCCCTTGTCTATATTTAATATACTTAATTCACCTCCCTCATAGCACGATTAGAGATCGAATTAGATATGTAGACTCTTCATTGTAAAGATGCAACAAATACTATGAAAGTTCTCTAAAAAAATCTCTACAATATATACAAAAAATGACTAAGAATAAACAAACAGGAAACTTCGATCGGTAAGCTATCGGAAATTTATCCACTTCCGTCCAACTCTAAAAATAATTCCACTCAAAAACGCCCTTCTCACTTCAACTGACTAATTAGCCATCTATGGAAGGAAATACGAATGGGCATTTTGCAGAAGGTGAGTAGCTCAAGAAGAAACTAAAGAACTCACATGGCAATCCAAGATATTTGTAAAAACAAATGGAAAATTTTCTGAAATGTGACCCTTGGCTTGTTTAAGATCAAAGACATTATTTACCTAGTCCTTTATCAAAGAACAACAAAACAAACCTTGGCTGTATGTTTGCATTTCGGCTCAACTTTCAACGAACCTTCACATTGGCAACACTTTTTGCAAACATCGTTCTGTTTGTAATGTTCCAAATCACAATCATCCTCAGAGCAGATTTTGCCCTTATAGACATTACACGTCTCTATTTCACGGAAGCCCTCACGGCAGTCAATAATGTTACAATTTCTACACTTTTTTGTAGAAGGCTCACCATCTGGGCTGTCTTTATACATTCCTTTTGAACAAATTCGACATCCTTTTGTGAATTCTCCTTCAATATTCAATATTTTTCTCTCACAAGCGGGAACGGGCTCCTCCCCAGCAGGACACAGTTCACATTTTTCGCACTCAATTTTACCAGACTTCCTTTTTATTATAAATTCGTGGTGTCTGCAACTTAATGCCATAAGCTGTGATACCTACAATAAAGAAGTTCAATACATGTCAGTTGGTAGAGGCTGACTGATGCTGATGTTAGTTTTGGGAGCAGCAAAATAAATGACACCTACTCCTCCCCCTTCTCAATCCATTTACCTTTTCTAAGCTGTTAACCATCATTTGTTCGATGATAAATACTGACGTAAAAGATATCAGTCAACAGTCTGATAAGAAAAGTGAGTCGTTGCTGAGATGGCAAAAGCGTGACAAGAACGTCTACTTTATGGTTCTCTCAAACCTCTCACACCAGAACAAAGTTCTGATGGAGCAATGACTTTTTATTGGATTTTGTCAAACAGATAAAAAGAAAGCTTAGCAGTACCAACCCAAATATGGAATCAGTACTCCAAAGATGGGTAAATTTGAGGTTTGTAAATTGATAAAAGTTGTGGTGGAGAGAAGAACTTAACTTACCCTAAAGAGGCAACCAAGGTTTTTGATATTTTGTTTAACAATGAAAGGAATGTGAGAATTCAAAATAAAAATTTAAGATAAAATAGACCCAGTTTTGAATGAGTTGCAGAAAATATGTATTCAATTCCATACAATTTATTGAAAGAGGGGATAGGCCATGGTTTTGATTATATGAATGACAATCTGGGTGGCTTTATTTTGCATGAATCTAATAAGATTAATTTAACCCCAGATTCTTAATCATTGTCAAATCATTGTTGTGAAGTGAGGCTACTTATTTGAAGGGGAGTGTTCATAGCAGAATTTTTTTGTAAAGGAAAATAAAGAGCTCAGTTAACTGTCAATAGCAAAAGATTGAATGTTTGAAGTGGTGGAAGAAAGGAGATCATTGGTGGAAAGTATCAAGGATACAGGAAAAAAACAATAATCATGGAGTATAGCTTAAACAGCAAATTTTAAAAAGTATCTAGGGTCATTCCATATCAAAGGGGGACGCCGATGTAACCCACCCTCTCAGAATTGTCCAATTTTTTGTAGTGTTGTTCAAACTAATAAGTTAGGAGTACCCTGCAAATTTCAGCTCAATACCTTCATTTGTTCCAGAATGAGAGACACTTGAAATTTGTACAGTGTCTTTTGTATAGTGTCTTAGCTTGACAAGAGCAAAAAATCAGAGATAGTATTTTTTCTTTTTTTGAGATATCTTTGTTTCAAAATGTCAGATTTTAATGAAAAAGTTTCAAAATTTGTATGGTCTGATAAGGAGATTATTCAGAACAGAACATTTTCTTAAAAGTCCAAATACAAACTTATTGCTGGAATTAAGTGGGAATGGTTTCAATATTGCAAAATAACTTGCCACTAATAAATTTTAATAACTAAAAGTACTTAATAAATGCTTTATTAATTAAAGTCTAACAATGGATTCAGTTCAAATATTCTTCAATTTTTACAGTGTCAGCAGTTTCTAAGGAATAATTCCTTCCTGAGTTTGTCAGTGGAAATGGTGCACTCACTGTCATTAGAATATTCACATTTGGAACCCAGCAAACATCATCTCTGTTTGGCCATTCAAAATGTTGTGAGGGAAATTGAGGATGCATAAAACGGATTTGGATTTCCTCGGTATCCTTGTCTGCTTGACAAACAACACCAAGCCAAATAGCTTCATCGTATCGTGAAATGACGAATTTTCCTGGATTTAAGTCATCTATTATTTCAATTATTTCTGGCTGGTTGGAGAAATTGAACTTGATTCCATAGTTCTTCAGACATCTTCAGACAACCTCTCTGCCCCAATTTCATTTATTCTTAGCGGAACAAATTGGTGGTAGCTTCTTGTACCAGGCACTGTTCTAGAAAACGAAAAACGCTCCTTCAGTTCTTCTCTTTTTTGATCTACTTCACCTCTACCTATGAACTGAAATTGGATTCCAATAATCTCCTCCTTGCAAAAATCAAACATTTCCCTTGCCGTAAGTATTTGGTTCTCCTTGTGTCGCTGCAAACTTGCCTTAGCCACAATTCTTTTCACCGTACCACCTATGCCATCACAAGGTGATTTACCGTGACTGGTGGCAAAAAATTCCATTTACAATCCATTCCAAAATCATTCTGATGGTGGCACAAGTTTAAGAAATTTTTACAATTCTTATATTGCCCTGCGCAACCATCAGAAAAATAATGAATGGATTTAATGGTATCAGAAATGTTTCTTTTAATATAATCCACTGTGCAGCTCATTATTTGATAAACCATTGTGACGTCATGATCCAAGTCATCAGAGATGAAACATATGGAGTCCGAAACAAGAACAGAACTATCACTGAAGCGATGGTAAACCATTATGGAATGGAGTGTGCATTGTTTCTGATTCCAGTGGTAACTTTGTATTTCATCCTGAATCAGAAACTTGTAATTTTCAGCAAAATCGCCTAACACTATAACCTCAGTATGTTCCAAATTATCTTTCAGTTCTTTTAAATAATTTGCTTGCGACTTTGCAATGTAGGTGTGTGCTGTTATTGCATCTAATTTTTCGCACAAAACTTCAATGAACTCTTCCACTGTTGCAGTAACCGAAATCAATTCTGCACGATCAGTGGTGGTCCATTGTTTGTATGTTATGCACTCTTCCATATCATCAATGTTTTCCCTTTCAACATCACTTTCTTCATCACTGTCATCTACACTGCAATGTTTCTCTCCTTCGAAAAAAATGCTTGTAAGGAGATCTTTGATGTTGCTAATGCCAGGGCATTTCTGATCCGATGAACCATGCACATATTTGATTGCCTATCACAAACGATCAAATCCATTAGTTCGTGGTAATTTTTTTCAAAATTGACTGCACCTAACATCAGTTTCAAGTTCTGGTGAATCGTGCAGACACACACAGAATGCGTTCCTTTAGGCCCTACTGGGATACATCATTTTGGTCTTAAACTTGCAAACTTTGAGAAACCAATTTTCAGTTGCGGATTTCTATTCTTGAAGGCTGTATAAAGCTCTTTCATGTTGCATAGCATCAGTCTTTTAGAAACATGGACATTTTTGCTGACGCTAACATAATCCTTTTTACCAGGGAGCTGCCTTGTAAATTCATCATCGTTTTTACATTGCATCTACAGCATCAATCACATTATTGTCGAGAGTCTTCCCAGCAGCTAAATCAGGCATTTCAAGAATCCCTTCTCTTCTTTAAGTCTTTGGGCCTTTTGAATTGTCTTCTTGGACACCTTGAATTCTCTTGCAGCTTTTCTGATTGACCAAGACTGTGGAATCAAGGTCAAAATCTGTATACGTCTCCTCCTGTTACACACCTTCAGATTTTTTTGATAAATTCAATCATGTGTTGCAAATCTTCAGAATCTCTTTTTAACTCTTTAGAAATTTCTGATTGGTCCTTCTCTTCAATCAAGTCTGAAGTGTCAATATCCAGCACAGAGGCTACCTTTTTTGAAAATGCATGTGTTGCCTGTTCCAATTTCCTCTTCCCCTGCATTATTTTCGAATGAGGGGGGATAGAATGGATCTTCAAAGGAGACACATTGATCTCACTAAGCACTGAGTCAATTGATTCCTTGTTTGAGGAAAAAAGATAATTCATTATCTAGTGTTTCGACAAGATTCACTTCCTCATCAGACTGCACCAACTCCTTTCCGAAAGAATCGATCTCGGTTTTCACCTTTATTCTACAAGAAGGACATATTTTTTGGCCAGGAACAACATAAATACCGAGTGTCACCACGTCTTTCGCCAGCAAGATTGCAACTTTGGAAAGTCCACCCTTCACCTCTTTCTTGTGAACATTAAATGGATTGAAACATTTTGTGTATGACGTCGGTAATCTTCTAGTCAGCACATGTTCGTGATGAAAACAGATATCAGCATCAATGTTCAGTAAAGAAACGCCAGATGTCCAAAAAACAACTTCTCGAACTTTCGAATCAAGCGATTCTATCATTTTAAAGCCAGTTCTTCTACAATATGTGGATTTATGACAAGGATCTTTCATGGTTGCGCCAACTGTGCATTGTCTGTTTTCGTCCATTTTTATATAAAACTTCGAACCACATTTACTTCGTAAATTGGCATTGCGAAAATGAAGTGCTATTTCAACAGTTTTATTCAAGTGGTGACTAATGGTTGTCGATGAATAGCCCTGATAAACAAGGATGAAAAATGTTTTGAGCCAATCAGACTGTTTGTTTACAATTTGAACCAGCCAATAGTATAGCGTCAAAGACAATAGAAATCTGGAGAGAAAATAGCATCGAATCAGCCGCAACAGTAACGCTCGCACCTCCTATCCAAAGCTGTGGGGAAAAACCGGCGCCACAAAAAGTTAACGCTGAACGCGAAAATTGTCATTATTGAAGTGCTTCATACAATTATGCATAGCAAAGGAGTATATCTAAAACTTTGCCGTCCCCATTTTTGAAATTCGGTCGTTAACCAGAGATAAGCGATGAAACGTTTAGCCCATTATTGCCCTGATTGAATCTGCTTACGTTGGTTATGGTTGGTTTTACGGCATCATGTCATTTTATTGAAAAACAGGTCATTTTTTACTTACAAAGTATGTACGTCGTATATTTTAAAGTAAGACGGAGAGATGATTATCAAACTCGGGTTTTTTCCCTTCATTCTGCCTTTTCCTTGCATGTTCTTAACCCTAAGACAGTCCGTCAACTTTCTTTCATTGAGTGCGTTCTAGAGTGTTGCGTATAGAAGAAATGCATATCTTGAGAAAATAGCGGCATTGTTGCAAATATTTATTCCAAAATCATATGCCTATTCCTGTTTTTGGTATTTTTGTAGGTGCAAGCAATGGTTCTTCTCATGGCAAAGTTTTTTAGGCGATTTGTCAACGAATTTTGTGGACACGAATTGTTATAAAGGCTTCAAAACGTTAGACAGTAAACGATAAAATGTTTTCTCTAAGCACGCAACGGCCCACGCTATCTTTCTCCACTGAAATAAATCCCCTGGTTTTTTTAGTGACTTAAGTACGGATTCATTTAAGAAAAAACTCAGAAGAACTTACGAAGTGCTTGAGGGTTC